AAAAAATTTTTTAAAAAAAGAGAAAACTGTCAACCTTAGTAAGGAAACTAGTGTTTTTAAGAAGTCTAGGATTTTAGAAAATAATGGGTGCAAATTTTTAACAGAAAAGCAACCAACTTTATTATTAGTTGTCAGAATGTATTTACCAAGTGAACAAATTTCTGTAGCAAAAATGTGAGAAATGACCCCAGAAGCTCAGACAGCAAGTGGCTATTCTCTACCCCAGAAAAACCTGAAACTGCATCCCCCTAGTGCCAAAACCACCAGCTGCTAGCATAAAAATTCAGTGTATAGATATTTGTTCTATATGATACCAAATGTCCAACTGTTATGTTTTTGTTGCTGTTATATTTCCACAGAACAGATTAATAGTTTGACCTGGTGTCCTACAGAGTATGTGAGAAATTAGGGTTGTAGCCATGCCTTCTGGGTGCCTGGCTACCCAGGATCATCTCCAGTGCAACCAGTCTTTGAGGTTCTACCTTGACCCTGCTGAGGATCACAGAAGACTCCCCATTTCCCTTCCCTGCCTTGACTGTCATTTGAACAGCACCGAGAAGACTGCTCAATTATCAGGAGAGTCGTGGATCTGCTGAAAATTCAAATTCAGCAGAGGCAATAAAGTCTGTGATTACTAAATGTGCATGTATTCCACCCCTAAGCAAACTGACAGCCTGATTTGACGTTCATGAGAAGTTACCGAGGGAGGATATAACATCTAAGATTCCTGTAACTAGAAGACCTTAAGAAGAGAAATAGATTTCATTTGGCCCAATAGTGCACTCTCCAAAGATAAAATGTGCTTCCATGTGAGGTAATGGGCACCTAATTGTTGAAAATACACAAGCAGCAACTGCCTAGGAAGGAAAAAGCAAATATACCACAAGTATATATTGATATTTGTAAGTTCAATTTAGATTTGTAGGTTTTCCTTTTTTGATTTTATGTTTATCTCACTTATCTAACATTGGAAATCTTGGTTCTCAATTACATTGACATAATTATTTATTTTCTCCAAATATATCTACATTATAGGGTATATTGTATCAGTTTTGGTTCAATCAGGAGCCATCTTAATTCTTAAAATTAAGAATTGTTAACTAGATACAAACTTGTTTACTGAAAGGTAAGTAAGAAATATTTAAAGTATCATAGAGATAGCAAGTATAAAAAAGCTGCTCAGAGAACAAAGAGAAAAGGTTGGAATCAGTCAAAATTAGAGAAAGGGTCTTGTGGAACATCAGTTCAGACATCTGAAGAGGCAGTGCTGCTTGTCCCATGTTGGTGTCTGAGCGTTTGGCCTTGGGATCGCAGACCTCAGGAGCAGGAGTAGGCCTGTGGTGTCAGTATCTCCAAAGCTGGTTCCATGAGGATTGGGAAAACTGCAAACTAGAGCTCAGTGCCGCTGTGGAAATGAAGTGCCTCTGCTGGAGTGAAGTAGCATTGATTGGCATGATGTTCACAGAACAGGCAAGCAAATAGAAAGACAGCTCAGATGATGAAGTACCTTCTTCCTCTGGCATTGCGGTCTCCTTCCAGCACCAGCTGTTAGACTCGAATGTGCAACCAGCTCGTAAAGCATAAATATGGTTTTCAGAGTAAGAGTAGGGAAGAACAGAGTTGGGCCTGAAAGTAGAAATTGTAGAGCTGTTTCTGTCAAAATAGAAAGCAAGGAAGACAGCAATTACTGAATGTATGCACTGGAGATAGTCAAATCATAATTTTTTTCAAGTTTTTATTTAAATTCCAGTTAGTTAACATACACTGTAATATTTTAAAGTTACTTGAAATAAATAATTCTCTGAACAGTCAAGCCACCCATTGATAGGCAGATTCATTTGTTTCATTTGCTTTTGGTTTTTAGGGATTTAATTTTTGTAATTTGTAGGACTACATGTAAAACATTCATAAAGTAAAATCTATAAAACACAGTGTACTGAGAGAACTCAAACTATAGCTGTTTAATCTACCCATGTACCTTATTTCTTCTCTACCCTATAGGTAACCATTTAATTTCCTTTATTCTTCCATTTAAAATATTTTATATATAATTTTAAGTAATTTTGTGTTATTTTAAAAATATTAGCAAATGTTATTTCACCCATCCCCATCTTTCTTAGAAGAGCAGTAGCATGATTTGCTTTTCCACTTTGCTTTTTTTACTTCATATACTATAGATCCCTCATTCTTTCTTATAACATAGTGTGGAGATTAAATTTTAGGTGACATCCTTAAAGACAGGATAGCTGAAGCGAAGGGAGTGTAGATGAGACAGTCCCCAGATCTAACAAAAAATGTACAGAATTGGAGGAGGAAGGGGGGGATGGGATCCAGAAGGCAATCAGGGAGATAAGAGGATCTGGAGGTATCAGGGAATCCAAATGATTTCTAGGAAATGGGATTCAATAATGTTAGAAAGGTTAAAGATGATAAGAGTTGAGAAAAGGCAAGGTTTGAATTAATGAAAATGTTATCCAGGTATTTGGAATTTGGCTAACGTAAAGCACTAACTGAGGGGAATTTTTTTTTCCCCCAGCCACAAAAGATAACATGAGGACTGCTTACATGTAACTTTAATATCTTTTCTCAGAGAAGAGTGCCACCCTCTTCACAGTTACAGAAGCTGGAAACAAAGGAGCTGTCCCTTCATCTCCCATATCCAGTGCATCCTCTGAACCAGTTTTACCATCAGTCTTCCTCATTCATTCCCACTTCCACCTAAACCACTGAAAAAGCCTCTTACTTGTCTCTGCAGAAAGCACTTGCCCCTTTTATAATCTGTTCTCTCTATTACAGTGGCAGTGATTTTTAAAATTGCAAGTCTGGCCATGTCACTTACTTAAAAGCTTTTAGAAGACTTCTTCAGACAGGGACCAAAGTTGCCATGTGATCATGCTTGATCTGGCCCCTCTGCCTGCCTTGCCCCTAGCTTCTTCTCTTGCCAGTCTTCCCTTGATCTCTGCACTTCAGTCATACTTTCTGTCAGTGCTTTGAACCTGCTGTACTCTTCTTGCCAGAGGCTTTTGTACATGCCGTTCTCTCTGCCTGGAAGTCTTTTCATCAGTAATTGATGACTCAACTTTCATATCTTAGTGTTAATATGATCTCCTTAGAGAAAGCCTTGCCTGGGTAATCTCTCACTTTCTCCAACACTCCAGCCCCACTAAAATGAGATCAGTTTCCCCTATCATATGCTTTTATAGCTTCTCATACTTTTCCCTTATGGCACTTCTCAGTTGGTAATTCCATATTGGTGTGATTCTTTGAGTAATGTTTGTGTGCCTCACATTTAATCTCAGCACTACTCAATAAAATCTGTTACTAACCTCACTTTAAAGATGAGCAGTCTAAGTAACCTGGCCAAGAACTACCTAGCCTAAGAAGCGGGGAATGGGGATATGAACGCACACTCCCATCTATGATACTTGGTATCATAAGGGCAGGAACCATGTTTGCTTTTCCACATTGTTATATCCTCAGCACTTAGCATAGTGCCTGGAGTATTTGATATATTGAATGAAGGACAATGCCATATTTCCATTTCATATGTTTATAATTTAAAACATGTCAGTTTAAATTTACAAACACTGTTAAGATAACTGATAGAGGCAAGTATGATTGGTATATCAATTTTACAGGACTAGTTGTTTGACCACCTTTTCATTTTTCTTAAAACTTGATGTGACATGTTTCTCTTATTAGGTGTGTACAAGCTGTGAGGACAATGCAGAAGCTAATGGGTTTTGTGTAGAATGCGTTGAGTGGCTCTGTAAGACATGCATCAGAGCTCATCAAAGAGTGAAGTTCACAAAAGACCACACTGTGAGACAGAAGGAGGAAGTATCTCCAGGTAATAAATTGGTTTTAATCTCTTTTTGTCTCTATCCTTCCCACTCTTTTCTCTCTTCCTGTACTAACTTTGTTTCGATACACTTGTAAGCATTAAATACACTCTTGTTTTTTAATATAAGGAGGTCTGTATTGTAATTGAAATTTGAAGACTTAAAAATGTTAAATATGAATAGATATAGAATATTTCTGTCTTATATTCATACTCCCAACCCCCCCCTTCCTGTAAATGCTTTAATTTGGTGTAAATGTATAGCAAGTGAAAAAAAAAAGTTGCTTTTTAAACTTAATCTTCTCTCATCGGTTCTCTTATTTCTAAGGTGTTGACAAGAGGTGGGCTTAACAAAAGTTTTATAACTCTTTCCCCTCTGATATTGTTGTGATAAACCTGGTTCATTATATTTGATAGGTAGATAACTAAAGAAGCTCTGCTTTTTATGTAATTTACGGCTTCTCAGTTTTTATTGTATTGCTTATAATGTAAAGTTTACTAATGTATTCTTTTATTGTAGTAAAATATATGTAACTTACAACTTGCCATTTAAACCATTTTTAAGTGTACAGTTCATTAAGGTACACTGTATTACATTACATTCAGTTCATTAGTGTATGGTGCATTAATGGCATTCACAGTGTTTTGTAGCCATCACCACTCTTTCCGAAGTTTTTTCATCATCCCAGAAAGAAACAATACCCAATAAATAATAATGCTTATTCCCCTTTTTTCTCTGCCCCTGTGAACTTCTAATCTACTGTCTCTACGAATTTCCTTATTTCTGCAAGTGGAATCCTATAGCTTTGTCCTTTGGTATCTGGCTGATTTCACTTATCACAATTTTCAAGGTTTATCCATATTGTAGCATTTATCAAACTTCATTTGTTTTTATGACTCATTAATATATTTTTGTTTAAAAATTATTTTATTGCTTTTAATCCAAGTCAACCGGTGTTTGTATGTCTATTCAGTATTCCAGGAACTTTGCTAAGCATTGGAGATGTAAAGGAATCAAACAGATACTTTGGCCCCACAGAAGTTAGAAGTATGATGAAGACTACAAATTAGCAATCATAGTTTGGCTTCCTAAGTTCTATAAGAACACATGAAAGAAGCGCCAAACTCAGATTTGGGGATTTAGGTTGGAGGCCAAATCTGGGGCTTGAAGGAGGAATAGAAGTTCATCACAGGAAGGAGAGGGGTAGGGAAAACTGAAGTACACACCCTGATTTCCAGAGGGAGACAGTTGAATGTAGCTGGAGAGTAAGATTCAGGAGAAGGAATAAGAGATGAGGCTAAGAGTCTGGTGACACAAGAAAAGAAGATACAGTTTCTGAGGACACTAATGAGGAAAAGACAAAAGAGAAGAGGCCAGGTACGGATTCAAATAAATTGAATAGATAGTGCCTGAAAGACTTCTCTTTTTTTGTGATTCAGTCATCTATTGAAAAATAGAGCAGAGAAAATAAGATGAAAAGATCAGGAATGTGTGGGGTACTTGAAATAACTCCAGTAAAGAGAGCTCCAGCTTCAGAAACAGATTGTTTGGTAGCATCCAGCTTACATTTGATGTACAGGCCTTAAAACTTCCTCCATCGGGGAGCGCCTGGGTCGCTTAGTTGGTTAAGTATCTGCCTTCCACTCAGGTCGTGATCCTGGGGCCCTGGGATCGTGTCCCACATCCGGCTCCCTGCTACGAGGGGAGCCTGCTTCTCCCTCTGCCTCTGCCTCTCTCTCTGTCTCTCATGAATAAATAAACAAAATCTTTTAAAAAATAAATAAAAAATAAAACTTCCTCCTTTGGGCCTCAGCAGTATGCTTGTGGGTATAGAGAAGAATTGAACTTATTTAGGGTTCGGGTTTAGCTGCATAGGTGTTGCAGAAGTTCAGTAGAATGAGAGGTACAAAGCATGGCATTTACTAACTGAAGGATTTTTTTTTTAACTGTATAAAGGAAATGAAGTTGATAGCGTCAGTTGATAGAGTGAAAGAAATTGTTAGGAACCTAGAGCTCTTTGAGGCACAGTAAGAGTAGTTAACTAAGAATTAGAAGGTTAGAAAGTAGAAGTTATTAGAGTGGGTGTTTGAATTTATGATAGAAATGGAACAGTTATGGACAATCAAAAGTCTAGGGTGGGACCATGATGTGAGGAGCTAAAATGGAGTAGAGGTCTCTGGAGATAGAAAGTCTGAGAGTCTTGTTTTTATATGGTAATCTATGTGGATTTCTGAATCATCCAGAGTGATGGTGACACTGAAGACTGGGAGGATGACCAAGTCAGGATCTAAATTCTTCAGTAAGTAAAGGAAGTCTACAAATGGGTGATACGATGTTCTAATTACCTAAATCAGAAGCTCTATAGTTATTGTTGAAGAGCAGGCACAAACCCAGAATGTCCTAAGCCAACTAAAGATGTATGGTCACTCTTATCTACTGTGATGCCTACGTGACATGCACATCAAGGAGAAGGATACAGGGAAGCTGTGAAGATACTCACATTACTAAAACTGAGCCATTGTTGCATTGCTAGAATTAATTGCATTTGGTCTTGATGTGTTGTGCTTTTAATAGTCTTTTATTATATTGCTAATTTTCTCTAGTTATTTTCCTTCTTCCATACGAGTTTTATGCATTTTTGCCTGCTTTTTGATCTGACTAGATAGTAGGTTATCTTTTTGTTTTTATCCACAGAAACAGCTCTGAAATTTATTTATCTAATTATCCTTTATATATTTTAGTTCATTATTTTATCTTTAATTTCTCTAGCTTACCCTAATTTTAAAGTTCTGTTACTAACTTCTTTGACATAAATACTTGATATTTATTTTTATCTTTTGTAGAATTAATAAGTGTTTAAAGCTTGATATAATCTGCCACTTAGATTTCTACTATTTTTTAAATATTCTGCATATATGGGGGCACCTGGCTGATTCAGTGAGTAGAGCATGTGGCTCTTGATCTCAGGATCATGAGTTCAAGCCCCACATTGGAACCTACTTAATTAGAAGAAAAAAAAAATCTTAAGTATTCTGCATTTATGGTTACCATGCAGTTGAAGGTTTACAAATTTTTGCATTTGTTATTTTCTGGTTCGGTAGATTATAAATAATGATATGGAAAGAAGGCCATGATGTATATTAAATGCAAAAACCAAGTTGCTTAACAGTGTGGTTGTTATGAACCCAAGAATTCATTAAAAGGAAAAAGGAAAATGTTCCCATTACTTGGCTTTTTTTGTTTCCTGTTTCAACTTCACAGTTTTTTTTTATTAAAGATTTTATTTATTTATTTGAGAGAGAGAATGAGAGCGAGAGAGAGCATGAGAGGGGGGAGGTTCAGAGGGAGAAGCAGACTCCGCTGCAGAGCAGGGAGCCCGATGTGGGACTCGATCCCGGAACTCTAGGATCATGACCTGAGCCGAAGGCAGTCGCTCAACCAACTGAGCCACCCAGGTGCCCCAACTTCATAGTTTTATTATGATCAGAAAATGTGAGTCTGTGAACTCATTCTGTGTGCTAGCATACATGTTAAGATTTTGTAAATATTGATGGTACAACTGACCCTTGAAAAACATGAGGCTTGAGGGGTGCTGACCCCTGCGCAGTCGAAAATCCATGTAAACCTTTGACTCCCCAGTACTTAACAAATTAACTACTACTGATAGCCTACTACTGACCAGAAACCTTACTGGTAACAATCAATTACACACTTTAAAAAATATATATATTTTTTTGGGAGGGAGAGAGCGTGCGAGTGCGCATACACGTGCATGTGTGCATAAGCGGGGAGAAGGGCAGAGGGACAAGCGGACTCTCCGCTGAGCAGGGAGCTCAACTCAGGGCTTAATCCCAGGACTCTGAGATCATGATCTGATTTGAAGTCAGACGCTTAATCAACGGAGCCATTCAGGTGCCCCAGAACACATTTACACATTTTGTAAGAAGTGTGTGTGTGTGTGTGTGTATTGTATACTATGTTCTTACAAAGCTAGAGAAAAGAAAATGTTAAGAAAGCCATAAGGAAGAAAAAATTCGTTTACAGTAACTGTACTGTATTTATCAAGAAAAATCATGTGTAAGTGGACCCATGCACTTAAAACCCATGGTGTTCAAGGGTCAACTGTATATGAAATGTCAGATAAATATAAAATTTATATTTAAAAGAGAAACCATAAAATTTCACTTATAAGAAAAAAAGTAAACATTTTTATAATTAGGAAAAAGCCTTTCTAGAAGAGGTTCTCTAAAACTAAAGCCACAAAAAATAAAAACAGTTTAATTTTTCTATAAAATGTGTTAAGGATCTACTTGGAAAAATACCATAAACCAAGTCAGACTGGAGAAAATATTTCTAAGATCTTTGGCAAGCAATATTAGCAAATGTGTCTACAAATTGGTAAGAAAGAAAATTGGATGGAAAAATGGCAGAGGTTATAAACAGTTCTTAAGAGAAATACAAATGGTTGATGAATGTGAAAAGTTGTTCTATCTCAGTTATTAAAGAAATATGTCCAAAGGTAGTGAAATCTTTTTTTTTTTAAAAGATTGGCAAAGATTAAAAATACTGACAAAATGCTGTTAGTAATGTAGGTAATAGCCACTCTACACTGGTAAGAGTACAAATTGGTACAATTTTTTTTTTGGAGGATCATGTACTTATATTTGTATAAGTCACCCTTTGACCCAACAATTCTGCTAGGAATTTATCTGTGGAAACATTCAATGACTTATACATTTCATATGTTTATTTCAGCATTATCGTACAATATTGAAAAAGGAGAAACATTCAAATGTCCACTGCAGGGGTTATATTCATTTGATGAAATACTATGCAGTTAATAAATAAATTGATATATTTACTAACCCAGAAAGGTATCTAAGAGGGGCACCTGGGTGGCTCAGATGGTGAAGCATCCACTCTTGATTTTGGGTCTCAGGTCATGATATGAGGGTTGTGAGCCCCATGTCTGGCTCCACACTCAGCGTGGAGTGGGCTTGAGATTCTCTCATTCCCTCTGCCCCTCCCCCTGCTCCAATGTGTGAGTGCGCACATGAGCGTGTGTGCACTCTCTTTCTCTCTCTCAAACTAAAATAAAATAAGAAAGGTATCTAAGAGTTCTTAAGTAAAGAAATCTTATAAGACAGTGTGTGTAATGCCATTGTTTTTAATTTTATAAAAGAAAGTACCTACTAATGTATGTAGTTATATACATAGAAAAACAACCAGATGAACACATAACAGGTTATTAATAGTGGTTATTGCTGGAAGTGGAATTATTTCTGAAATGTTTGGATTTTACCTTTGATTATTAGTGACATAACTGATGTTTACTGTTTAATCAATAATTATTTTTATTTGTATTCTGTTTTTTTTTTTTTATTTAACATTATAACATAAGCATTGCTCAGTTTTATTGTCACTCTGGGTAACCATTAAGAAGTTATATGGCTGGACCCCAATGTTTATAGCAGCAATGTCCACAATAGCCAGACTATGGAAAAAGCCCAGATGTCCATCGACAGATGAATGGATAAAGAAGATGTGGTATAGATATACAATGGAATATTATGCAGCCATCAAAAATTTGAAATCTTACCATTTGCAATAACGTGGATGGAATTAGAGGGTATTATGCTAGGCGAAGTAAGTCAATCAGAAAGACAATTATCATATGATCTCACTGATATGTGGAATTTGAGAAACAAGGCAGAGGATCACAGGGGAAGAGAAGAAAAAATGAAACAAGAAGAAACCAGAGAGGGAGACAAACCATAAGAGACTCTTTTTTTCTTTCTTTCTTTCTTTTTTTTTTTTTTAAGAATTTTATTTATTTGACAGTGAGAGACACAGTGAGAGAGGGAACACAAGCAGGGGGAGTGGGAGAGGGAGAAGCAGGCTTCCCGCTGAGCAGGGAGCCCGATGCGTGGCTCAATCCCAGGACCCCGGTATCATGACCTGAGCCGAAAGCAGATGCTTAATGACTGAGCCACCCAGGCACCCCCATAAGAGACTCTTAATCTCAGGAAACAAACTGAGGGTTGCTGGAGTGGAAGGGGGGTGGGGGGATGGGGTGGCCGGGTGATGGACATTGGGGAGATTATGTGTTGTGGTGAGTGCTGTGTATTTGTAAGACTGATGAATCACAGACCTGTCCCCCTGAAACAAATAACACATTATGTGTTAATAATTAAAAAAATAAAAATTAAAAAAAAAAGTTATATGGTTGGGGCGCCTGGGTGGCTTAAGTTAAGCATGGACTCTTGATTTCAGCTCGGGTTGTGGTCTCAGGGTTCTGAGATCCAGACCCCTGTCCTGATCCATGCTGGGCGTGGAGTCTGCTTGAGATTCTCTCTCTCCCTCTCCCTCTGCCCCCACCCCCACTTGTGTGCTCTCTCTTAAAAAGAAAGAAAATTAAAAAGAAGTTACATGGAGGACTATAGTATATAGTGAAAACTTTATGATTATTTCTGTGTTAATGGGTACCCTCTGTAAGGATTTTTACAGAAGTGGGAAAATAACTTTTCCATCATACTGTTTATACATTTTTATTAGATTTTCTGAATTCCATTTAAAACTATCTCCTCCCATATTTGGAGTAGAAAACATCCAGTTGATTCACACTCACTTTCCTGGGCTATTTTCTTAAGGCTTTTTAATTCCATAAAGCATATTTTTAACTACATACTTTCTTTTTCTCCTGAGTTAATTTGAATTTCTGGGAAGAAAAGCTTATTTATCTTTTCCTTCTAAAATGCTGAGAATACTTAATATTTTATTTTTTTTCTTTTTTTAATTGAAATACAGTTGACACACAATGTTACCTAAGTTTCAAATGTACAACATAGTGATTTGACAAGTCTATATATTATGCTGTGCTTTCCACAAGCATAGCTACCATCTGTCACCATACAATGCTATTTTAATATATATAAAGCCTAGTAGTAGTGATAGTGTCAGAAACTGTTTATAGCTATTTTATATCTCAATAGATTCGAATTTAAATTAATAATGAATAATTATGTAGTATTCAATTACATTAATTTTCTTTTTGCCTCCCATTGTTTCTACAGAGGCAGTTGGTGTGACCAGTCAGCGACCAGTGTTTTGTCCTTTTCATAAGAAGGAGCAGCTGAAGCTTTACTGTGAAACATGTGATAAACTGACATGCCGGGACTGCCAGTTATTAGAGCATAAAGAGCATAGGTACTGGCATCTTTAATTATATACTTATATTTATAATAAGCTTTACAAGGAATAGAGGACTACTGGCACCCCCGCCAAATGGCAGTCAGCAAAAAAGTTTTGTTTGGCCAGCAGTATGTTGGCTTGTTCCAGGATTTTTCAACTTAGGTACTATTAATAGTTGTTGTGGGGGCATTTCTGGTTCATTGTATGGTGTTTAGCTGCATCTTTCACCTGTATTCACTAGATTCCAGTAACATCCTCCCAGTTGTGACAAACAAAAATGTCTCCAGATGTTGCCAAATGCCCTACAGAACAAAATCACCCTGAGTTGAGAACCACTGGCCTACACACTATTTGAAAATAAATGTAATTTGTTGCCAAATTGTTGTTTGTAAAATGAGATTTTACAATAAGAAAAAAAATTTAGATCTTTGGGTTTTTGAGAAAATGGAACCTATGATGGCTTTGGGCCCCATACACTTGCATGTCAGCATTTGAGTGGAATTAATTTTAGTGTTCTGTAGAATGAGGCATGCCTTTCCCAATTCATTATAGTTCCTACCAAAGCTTATTTTTAAATCTGACCTCCCATAGGCATTTGAGTCAGCAACCACTGATTTATTTAAAATAATAAGATTCTGGGGGCATGTGGGTGCCTAAGTCGTTAAGCGTCTGTCTTCAGCTCAGGTCATGATCTCAGGGTCCTGGGATCGAGCCCCCCCATCGGGCTCCCTGCTCGGCAGGAAGCCTGCTTCTCCCTCTCCCACTCCCCCTGCTTGTGTTCCCTCTCTTGCTGTGTCAAATAAATAAATAAAATCTTTAAAAAAATAAATAGTAAGATTCTGATTGATACAAATAAAATTGCTTAAAATGGTCTAGGCTTTCACAAACTGATGGTTATCAGAGGAGAGTATTAATCCAGGGATGGATTAAATAGGTGATGGGGATTAAGGTGTGCACTTTTTGTGATGAGCACTGGATGTTGTATGTAAGTGTTGAATCACTAAATTGTACACCTGAAGCTAATATTATTTACTGTATGTTAACTAACTGGAATTTAAATAAAAACTAAAAAAAAAAAAAGAAAGAAAAATTGGTCTAGGTTTCCAATAATGGCAGACTAGGCAATTTAGACCAAACCATACCAGTGAGGATAACTAGGAAACCTGGACAAAATATAGAAGTCATTGATAAAAAAATTTTAGAGCTTATTAGTAAAAAATTACTAGATCAGGTTGGAGTGGGAACAGAGAATGATAAGAGCTTTTTTCCCCTTTGAGGCATTGACCAGGAGATTGGGGAACACTTCTGATAGGCCACAGGGCTGGGAAGATAGGAATTGGAGTTCAGGGGTTACAGGGGTGGAAGGCTTCTCCTTGCCTTGATTTGGAATCCTGAAAGTCTACACTATTACAGTAAAGATGAACTAGCTACTATGCTAAATAGTTCCTGATGGACTGAAGCCTCAGCATCAAATTTTTTCAGTACCCAAAGACAATAAATTGATATCATACTCCTTGTGCCCTGGTAGAATCAAATGTAAATCCTTCCTGAAGAAAGAAAACATCATCTTCTGCCTTAGATTTATTCAGTAATGAATTTTGCAAAATTGTCCAATACATAATTAGAAGTAATCGAGTATTCTAGGAGATTAAACAATGTGAACAAAATCTAGCAGATACAACAAATTATATAAAAAGACCCTTAGGGCTACATCTTTCTATACTGAAGATAAGAGACAAAATGGAAAATTTGGTTAGAGAACTGAAAACTATAAAAAAGAATGAGATGGAAAATCCAGAACTGAAAATTGCCATAACTGAAAATAACTCATTAGTGGCTGTAACAGATTTGACATAGCAGGAAATGAGAATTAATGAACTAGAAGAAAAGTAAGAAAATATCCAGAATGAAGTGTGGTAAATAGAAGGGTGAAAGTAGAAGTAGTAGTAATACAGGGTGTAACTGGGGCTCAAAAAGAGAGAAGGGGGAGGGAATGGGAAGAAAGCAACATTTAAGGACAGAATATAATGGCTTAGAATGTGGTAATACTGAAGAAAGATGTCTAGCCCATATTTAGGAAGTCCCATAGATCCCCAGCAGGATAAAAAATATTTTTAAGGTACAAAAAGAAAATAATTACAAAACTAAAATTTTATACTCCGTGAACATTTTTTAAAATGAAGATTAATGAAAGACATTTTCAGACAAAATAAACTAGGATAATAAATCCCCAATAAAACCTCACTAAAGTATACCTTAGGCAAAAGAGAAATGGTTGTTAATGCATGGTGGAATGAAGAGCAATTGAAAAGGTTAAGGATGAGTAAATCTGGATAAATGTTGACATAGGTAACAAAAATGTTTTATTGGCGTGTGTCGTGTGTGTGTTTTGTGTATTACACAACAGACATGTTAGGAGGATATGGACTTCGTGTTCTAAGACTCAAAAGAGTAAAAAAAAGTACAAATTAATATTAGATGGTAAGCCCAGATCTGTATTTTGTAATGTCTAGAGTAGTCACTAAAAGAATAGTAAAAGTGTCTATGATTATCAGAGTTAACAGAGAGGGGAAGTGGAATAATTAATCAGTCTGAACATAGGCCAAAAAAGACAACAGATGGGATTTAATAAGGACTTGGTAAGTTGGTAAATCTATAAGTATATTTGTAATTATAGTAAGTGTAAATGGATAAAATGTTCCGAATTAAAAGATTTCATCCTGGATAAGAAAGAGAATAGAAAATCTGCTATTTGCTGTTTTTATAAGAAGAACAACTAAAACCTAAGTATATGGAAAGAATATTAGGAAAAGATGCACTACATAAACACTAACCAAAGGCAAGCTGTTATATCAAAGTGACTTGTTTGAGACAAAGGACACTTTATACAATAAAAGGCTCTCCATTTAAAAGATATAACAGTTCTAAATATATGTATGCCCATAGGCTTAAAATATGTAACAAAAAATGACAGAACTTAGAACAAATAGACAAATCCATGGAGTGGGAAATTTTAACATACTTTTTTCAATAATTGACAAAACAAGCAGATTAAAAATCAGGATATTTCAGTAAGATTCAAATAACCTAATTAGCAAAGACTGTGTGAACATTAAGGAACACTGCACCTAATGATAGACTTCTTTTCAAACATCAAAAGAAAAAATTTAATTGGCAGTCTTAAATTTCAGAGGGTTAAAATCATGTAAAGTCTTACATAAACTCAATGCAGTTAAATCTAGAAGATAATAATAGATGAGAAAATTCTCCAAAAATTTGAAAATGAAGAAATGAAATCCATACAAACGGTAAATGCAGCAATGCATGATCCCATACTGCAGCCTGGACTAGAAGGGGAAAAGTGATTTAGAGGACATAACTGAAACAAATGATGTAACTAGAATATGATGTGTAGAGTAGGTGAGAGTATTATCTTGGTGTCCATTTTCTTACATTTAATTATTATACTGTAGATGCATAACAATACTCTGTTTAGGAAATGCGTACTGATTATTAAGGTGTTAAAGAGCTGTGATGAGTCAATTTTTGAAAAACTAAGCTGTGTAAAGGTATAGATCTCTGTACCATTGCAGATTTAACTTGGAAATTATTTCAAAATAAGCAGTTAGAAATAAATGTAAAAGCATCAAAGAAGAAATCCAAATGGATATCAAAATATTTTTATCTGAATGATAGTGGAAATAATATCCTAAGTATATTGTTAAGGCCATGATGAGAGGAAAATAGATATCATGAAATGTATATGGTAGGTAGTAAGGATAAAAAGTAAATGCACTAAACAGTTATCTCAAATTAGAAAAATGAGTATATTAAACCTAAAGTAAATGGGGGAAAAGGACATAATAAGGATAAGGACAGACATTAATGAAGTAAAGTCAAAAATCAATCATTCAAAAGACTAGTAAATTGACAAATTCCTTTACAAGTGACTGAGAGGAGGCCCACCCGACTGATGCCAGGAGCAAAAAGGGGGCATGAACACATCTCTAAAGGCATTTAAAATTATGAAAAGGTTATCTGTCAACAGATTTGAAAATTTTTACTTGAAAGAGGATAATTCTTAGAAAATAAAACTTAACCAAATTAACACAAGATAGGCTAGAAAATCAGAATAGTCCTTTAATGTAAATCCATAATTTGTAACTTTCTCACAAAGAAAACTACAGACCTAGATGACTTAATTGATGAATCAACAACATAGGTGCAGTAAAAAGAACACCTTTAAATACATACAGCCTTGTCCAGAGAATGATAAAAGAATGAATTCTCTCCAACTTGTTTTTTGGGGAATAAAAATAGAAAATGACAGACTAGTCTCACCCATGAAATGAATGTGAAAATTCTAAGAAATAAAGTAGGAGACCAAATCCAGTAGTATTGTGATTTTTGGACAATATAATTGCAACCAAGTTGGCTTTGTTTTAGGTATACAGAGTTCATTTAACATTTGAAAATCATTCATGTAATTCATATTAAAAGAATAAAGGAAAAATACATGATGATTTCAATAGAGACAGAAGAAACATTCTGTAAAAAAAAATATGTATGCGCCCATGATAGAAGATCTTAGCAAATGAGCGATAAAGGAAATTTCCTAAACCTGATAAAGATTGTCTATAAAAAGGACTAGATAACATCATAACTGGAATTGAAAGTTTTTAGATTGAGTTTAGGAACAAGACAACAATGACTATTTTAAGCATTTCATTTAACATTACACTATATCAGGGTCCCAAAGAGTGCATTATGTACGAAGGAAATCCAACAGAATTATTAACTGTGTTCCCCTTTTTTTCTAATGCTGGCAACCCTATTTATAATACTTACTGATTTAAATGCACTTGCACTTTTAAATCATATTATGTAAAATACTGTATTTTATGCATTTTATGGAAAATTAATAAAACTAGTTATCTTCTACATTACTATTTCCCTGGAGCTACTCTTGAGTTATCTACATAGTTTGTCAGAGGTTATCATGTTGACTTCCAAGTTAAATTTTTTAAAGTGCTGTATGTTATGTTGTTTGAAGCTTTATTGCATGCAGGGCATAACATCAAGAGTTTTTCGTACTCTTTCCATTTTTCCCAAAGGCATATATTTGTGACCTCTGTGGCACAACCACCTAATGTTTAAAAGTGATCTTTAAAGTGTGTGTTTACAGCATTAAACTCTCATAATTATGAAATTGCAAAATAGTAAATAAATCTACTTAAATATCTGTGATTACTTTTTGCCAGGTCAGCCAAGTGAGCTCTCTAAGCCTCTAAAATTATAATTGATAAATGTGTATCTTCCCCAAATTTCCAAAACAATTTAGAGTATCCATGAATAATATCTGTAAATACTCCCCCTTTCTAAAAAAAAAGAAAGACTCCCTCATTCTTAGGGATAATTTTGAGATCATGAAAAACCTGCCTTCTAGAAATATATTAAAATTTTTTTTAAAGATTATTTACATCTTTTATAATCTTGTTATCTTAAATTGTTTCTATCTGGGGGCTTTTCCTCATTTTAGATATATTAGCTTGAAATAATTGGCTTGTTTACTTATCTTTCCAGATACCAATTTATAGAAGAAGCTTTTCAGAATCAGAAAGTGATCATAGATACACTAATCACCAAACTGATGGAAAAAACAAAATACATAAAATTCACAGGAAATCAGATCCAAAACAGGTAAATTTACATTTGTGGTGTTGTAAAAAATCATCTTTATATAATGTATTAAGTATATTTACTTTTAGAACAGACATTTTACTTAGCTCATAGTGAAATAGGTCCAAGTAAGCTGTTAGATGGCTCTAATAACGTAGTTCATAAGACTTCTCCAAAAACTGGGTTTCTGGAAACTGGGCTGGAAAGCATTCTTTTCAGCCATGAAATTTCAAAACTGTTATGGTAATAAACTACATTGAGTAATGGCTCATTTATCTGGTAGGTATTGATAATTTATAATTATCTGGTGTTTCAAATTTTTAAGAAATCCCAGGATTTAAAAACAAAATCAATTGTTTTTACCAGTATGGTAAAATACTTTAATACTTGATTATATATATATAATTGCTTTTTTAAGCGTTGGCAAACTTTGAGATACCTTCTCTGTGCTGTCATCTTTTAACTGCAATAAAGTGGAGATCTTAGGACACCATTAAACAGTTTCACATACATTCCTTATCAGATATAATACTTACATAGTTTCTACATGTTACCTGTTACACTTTTTGTTTTCCATAGGAGTCCTCCTCTTCAACTGTACAAAGGCTCATATCTCACAATTCGGTGATTAGGGGAATAAACCACTAACCTCCACATGGAAGAGGGAGTTTGTCTATCTTCCCCATTTTTTTATCCCATTTGGAACCCACACTGACATATTTACAACACCTATGAAATCTCATATCTCCCTTCTTTTGTTGTTTTGCATACAAAAGAAACCTGTCACTACCTAAAAAAATCAAGAAATGCTTTTTAGAAAGAGCCTGAATAAGAGAGTCCTCACAGGGGATTTGAATCACTCATAGAGAAAAAGTCTTTTGTGGTTCATCTTCCTTAAGACCAATCATCATAATCTGTTATACTTGTCATTTTGGAGCATGGCTACGGTGGGAACTTTTTCCAAGTAATTCCCTGGTTTAACTGAATTCTTTTAAAGATATTCTTAAGCATAATTTACCCTCATCTTGATGCTTCAGTATTATTATTATTATACCCATTTTTATTCATTGTGATAATACAGTTCTCTTGTGTCTTTTGTTTTTATTGTTCTTCCTTATCAGCTCTCATTTTACCTTTCTCTTTCACATAACAGCTGTATTAACCAAATACTGTTTCATTTACCATATTCTAATCACAATACTATTTTTGCTAAATAGAGTAAGTGGTGGGTTTAAAAGTTTTTTATCTGAGTAGTTGAAAATTTGTAAAGGATATTTACGGAATGATGGAGAGAGATAGTTCTAGGTGCTTCTACCATATAAATGACAAATGGTAGCAATTGTAAAATAACTAATTTTGTGTAAAAGATCCACCCTTGACAAAATGTATTCTTGACTTTTATCTTATTCGCTCATGTATATGGTGTGAGCTATAAGCCAAAGTTCACTTTTTTGTAACATACAGATGTCCATTTGTTCCTACACCCTTTGTTTAAAAGACTGTATTGTTGCTATTGAATTGCCTTGGTTCCTTTGTAGAAAATCAGTTGACAGCATATGTATAAGGTTACTTCTGAACTCTGTTCTTTCTGTTCTCTTGTGTTTTTCTTTTTTGCCAGTACCCCCACTTTCTTCATGACTGTAGGTTTTTATAGTAAGTCTTCAAATCAGGTAGTGTGAATTCTCCAAATTTGTTTTTTTACCTTTCTGTTAGTGGTTTATGCTGTTTTTACAAAGTCATACATTATTGAATGGAAGGATTTTGGTTTTTGAATTGTGGTAAGACTTAAAGAATCCTCGGATTAAATGCTAATTGCTCATATCTGTATAGACTACCTGATTATAAAAGGATTACATTTACTGGGCTGGCTTACTTTGATATTAATTCATTTTTATGCATGTGCAAACAGCATTGCTTGTCCTTTTTTCATCATGTTTAACCATCATGAGGATTTAAATTAGTTTTGGGGGGTTTGTTTTGTTTTGTTTCAGGGGGTTTGCTTCCCAGATCTGTCTGGGTTTCTTGATCTTATAGCCAATATTGGTGCCAATTAAATACCTTAAAGAATTTACAACAGAGAATAAAATCCATGCCCTATTGGTTTTAAGTTTCAGTGGGTAACTTTTGGAGAAACAGACTGGAGAAGTGAAACTTTTTATTTATCTCAAAATGTTTATTCGCTTCTGTTTCTATAAGATAGTCTGGTGTGATGCTGTGTATTTTCTTTCTGTCTATCTCAAACTCCATGAAAACAGCATTCCATTTTGTCTAATCAAAGGAGAAACTGTACATGGTAGTTGATGAAACATAAAGTAGTATTTAGCTGCTTATTTCAAGACAAATGTGTTATTAAAAGTAGCAAACTACTATTGTTCTCTTTGCCTCTGTGCAGGTATGATGAATGCTGTACCAGTTCAGATGACTAAGGGTGACACATTTATACTTTCCTACTTCTTAGTTACAGTGGATGCAATCGAACACTTTCAGAGTCATGGTTTTCTTGTTTATAAATCATTTTTTTTTGTCCACCCTTTTAGGCCAAGTGTTGATTTTCTTGGGTGATTTTCATCATGATCTTTCCAAATCATATTTTCTTAAAATGTGTTCATTCTCTTGCAATTTTATACATTTTGATTTTAAGATTGAATTAAGTGACTGTGTCTTTCAGAAGAATTACATTTCTGCTATGTCATGTTCAAGAAAGTTGATTCAAACTGAAGGACCCTTAGAAACAGCTGAGCTTTTAAGAGTTTAAAACAAAACTTGGCCTAAGTTACATTAAAAAATCAATTTTAAATATTAGAAAACAATATTCTGCCTTAGATTTTAGATTTTTTCCCCTCTTTCATTTAATTTTCAGGATAATTGAAGTAAATCAAAATCAAAAGCAGGTGGAACAGGATATTAAAGTTGCTATATTTACATTGATGGTAGAAATAAATAAAAAAGGAAAAGCTCTACTGCATCAGCTTGAGGTAAGTTACTGTTAATGGGACAGTATGTTGTAGCAATTTAATATAGTATTTTTTCATGTATTTGTGAATTTGGAATCCCAGCCTTTTTCATATAATTGTTTCCATTTATGGCTCAATAATACTTTTCCATTCCCAAGTTTTCTTTTGCCCGGTTCTACATTGTAGCTGGCAGTTTATGGCTTAGCGTGTACTTGGTAGCACAAAGCTCAATGCCTTGCTTGAAGAAGGAGCTTTGTAAACGTTGAAGAGATTAATCATTTTAGATTCATTGAAGTAACAGTTTTAGGTCCCCGAAGCGGTGCAATTGAGCAAAAATTTTTAGAATGATAACAAAGCCGTATTTCATTTTCAAACATACACATTTAATTAACTTTATGAGAAATTAGGTAAAAGGATATGCCTTCTGCTTTCAACATTTTATAGTCTTAACTGTGAAAGCAGTATGTAGCGAGGGTTGTTCAAGGCACTTAAGATAGTTGTTTCTCACCATGGTAAGAAAGATATTATGGTCTTCAGGGGCTTTATTACACTCATGAAGTCAGGATCCAAAGTCAGTGTTTGAGGTTACAACTTCTCCTTGGTATATTAAAATAATATTAATTGCATGGTATTTTAGTATTCTTTTAGTACATTGGTGCAGAAAGAAGTCACAGTAAAGCAGCAATTTACAATGAGAAGAGAATAAGAGTTCTGATGTTTAAAGGTGCAAAAAAGGAAAAAAAAAGAAAAAAAACACCTAGAAATAATTTAGTTCAAACTCTTTATTTTGTAGTTGACAAAATTATAAGGTCTTTGTCAGAGAGTCCTATCCCTCCTGGGAAAGCATGGTCATTCCCATGGTTTATCAGACATACAAGAAACAAAGACTAAAATAATTCTCTGTTCTTTTGGAAACAGATACTTATTTAGTGAAGAAGTGTTCTGTCCAGGCAACCTCATTTATGGGAACTATTTTTCAAGGTTCTTTGATTCTTTTTTTTTTTTTAAATAGAAGTATTTAAACAATTTAAAAAGTTTTCCAAGCTCTGCTTAAAATCACACATCACTTAGATTTGCTTTCTCAGAGATTAGCAGTGCACTCATTTCTGTGGCTCTTTCCAGACTTCTCTGTAAATCAGAATCACTCGAAGATAACAAAAGATGACCAGATCCCAAATCTCTAGGAATGAACCTAGTCATCAGTATTATTTGTAATCAACTTTATTGACTTACAGTTCTCTACAGTTTTCTCTGGTCCTCATATCCATTCTCCTGGTTCACAGAATCCTCCTAAAACAAATGTAGCCACTTTTATCTAAGAATCCAGAAACCGGCGCAAATAGTTGTTGCCATAGAAGACCCAAATAACTAGGGCTTCTCGTTGTCAATATGCAGTCTCTCCCAAAGTCAACAGAACTTATATTCTTTCTAGTATGTCTCCAAAGAAACATTTAGGATATTTCTGACCTCTGTAAAAAATAAGTAATCTCTAAACTTAAATTAGACGTGACAAAGCCATTGACTGTCATTGCAGTTTTTCCCTTAATTCACTTCACCTGTGTATTTTCCAAATTTGAAACTGACAAGGGTCAGGATCTAGGTTCCTTTTTTTTAAAATGAGAATGTAAATCCATATTAGAGTTGTAGCAATTTTACTGTTAAACTTCAGGATCAGTAGACAACCCTAATCTCTTCCCCTTTCCTTGCAGACAAAGACTTTTGGATAGAGAACTTTAAAATAACCCAAGTTCAGTGCTCTCTCTCTCTCTCTCTCTTTAAGATATATTTATTTATTTTAGAAAGAACGTACACATGCAAACAGGGGGAGGGGCAATGGGAGAGAGAGAATCCTAGGCAGACTCCCCGCTGAGCACAGAGTCTGACGCAGGGCTGTAACCCAGGACCCTGAGATCATGACCTCAGCTGAAACCAAGAGTCTGATGCTTAACTGACTGAGCCACCCAGGCACCCCCAATGCTCTCTACTTTTGATTAATCTGTGTTCTTGCTTGTGTACTTCACTTAGAGATATTCTTGCGTAGTTTTTCTGAGAATGCATTGGCTCCTCTAGTCATCAATTGGCTCCCAAGGTAATTCTCAATAGACAAAAATCATATCCCTTTCTAACCACATACAAAATATAAGTGTTGTCTACCATATGGCATGACTGGGCACAAAGTGGTTACAGTCAACACTGGAATGCCTGAAAAGTGAAATCCTGTGATTGCACAAATTGTGTGATCTGGTAATTTTATTAAGATTGCTGGATGATACATCTATTTTATTTGTGAGTATTGAATTTAATAGGCATTTACTCTATCATAGTTAATCCATGGCTTTTTTTTTTTTTAAAGATTTTATTTATTTATTCATGAGAGACAGAGAGAGAGAGAGAGGCAGAGGGAGAAGCAGGCTCCCAAGGAGCAAGGAGCCCGATGCGGGACTCGATCCCAGGACTCTAGGATCATGACCTGAGCCGAAGGCAGATGCTTAACCATCTGAGCCACCCAGGCGCCCAATCCATGGCTTTTGTCCCTTTTTGGATATTGGAAGTTGCATGAACAGAGGCCTAAATTCCCAGAACCTGTCAGACTAGACCAAGGGCCTGGGGTGGGAGTGGGGATGCAGAGGCAGTGGTGATAGTGGTGGCAGCAGCCGGAGCCCTGCAGTGTTGGGACACAGTTTTTTGTGGCAGTGAGAGTGATCCTTTATACTAAGGGAGAAAAACACTAAGCATATTTTAAGTTTCTGTTATTTGGGTTCTCAGAGGTGGCAGTTATTCTAATTTGATAATCTGAAAATGACCATTATAGTATGTTATATGCAGGACAAATGTTGACGTTTTCTTCTTTTCAGAGCCTTGCAAAGGACCATCGCATGAAACTTATGCAACAACAACAGGAAGTGGCTGGACTTTCTAAACAATTGGAACATGTCATGCATTTTTCTAAATGGGCAGTTTCCAGTGGCAGCAGTACAGCGTTACTTTATAGCAAGCGACTGGTAAGATAGACTGAGTAATGCATTTAACATACCATCAAACCGCAGAGAAACAGTGGAGGTATTGGAATACTTGAAATTCAGAAATGTTCATTAGTCTGTTTGTACTGCATTGCCCTTTACCTATTTCTAATTTTTTACCTATTTCTAATTTTAATTGGTCAAAATATTTTGGTTTTTAAAAATATATTTAATTGCCATGGTTTAGGTATAACTTCAGTTTTAATCTACCATTGTCATTCCTGTTTTATTCTTTTCTAGGTTTTCTCTGAGTGGCTGTTGAACTTAATACTGAAAATAATAACAGTAAATATTTCCTGATCACCTATAGTGTGCCAGACACTAATTCTAAACATTTTTCACGTAATATTTCACTTAAACTTATGCATCATTTTGAGGGGTGGGGAGTATTGTTTGTTTGAAGTTTTTACTTAAATTCTAGTTAGTTAACATACAGCATAATATTGGTTTCAGGAGTAGAATTTAGTGATTCCTCGCTTACATACAACACCCAGTGCTCATCAGAACAAGTGCCCTCCTTAATCCCCATCACCCATTTAGCCTGTCCCCTGCCCACCTCCCTCCCATCCACCCTCAGTTTGTTCTCTATAATTAAGAATCTCTTAAGGGTTGCCTCCCCCTTCCCCTATGTTTATCTGTTTTGTTTCTTACATTCTTAAATTCTACATGAGTGAAATCATATGGTATTTGTCTTTCTCTGACTTGTTTCACTTAGCATTATACTCTCTAGCTCCATCCATGTCATTGCAAATGGCAAGATTGCATTCTTTTTGATGTCTGGGTAATATTCCATTATGTAATATATGCACCACATCTTTATCCATTCATCAGTCAATGGACTTTTGGGCTCTTTCCATAATTTGGCTATTGTTGATAATGCTGCTATAAACATGTGCCCCTTTGAGTCAGCGTTTTTGTATCCTTTGCACTACCTAGTAGTGCAATTGCTGGGTCATTTTTTATAGCTAGGGGCACCTGGGTGGCACATTCAGTTAAGCTTCTGACTCTTGGTTTCGGCTTAGGTTGTGGTCTCAGGGTCGCGAGGTCAAGGCTGCAAATAAATCTTTAAAAAAAAAAAAAAAGACTAGGTATACCATCCATCCTTATTGTATGGATGATGAAACCAAGGCACAGAGTTAAGTCACATGCCTAATGTTACAAAGTAAAGAGGTATATAACCAGAATTCTATCTTGGACACCTGAGCTTAGAGGCTGTGTTTCTCTTGTCGACAGTACATTATTTACTCTGGCATCCATCTATGGTACTGTGTATTTCAACCCCATTTGCTACAGAAGAGTGGCTGTGTTATTAGATGAACAATTTTGATAGTAATCTATAACCTTGCTACTGAAAATATTCAGTCACTGCATACTACTAATCACCCAAGGATTCTGGTTTAATAGTTGTGGAGTGGAGCCAGATTCTGTATTTCTTACAAGCTCCTGAGAGATGCTAATGCCACGGGTCTGTCAACTATGCCTTTAGTAGCAAGAATCTTGAAGATATTTAGCCACTAGAAGTCGAACCATATAAACATTCTGAAAAATTCCCGCCTTACCTTCATTTTATTAAGGATCCCACAGAGAATTATCCTTTGAAATCAAATTAGGACATCCAAATCAGCTTTCTGTTCACCTATTCCATCTCTGGAATCAGGTGGCAGAATTTTTCTGTAACCATTTTGAAATAAGGAAATGTATTTCTGGATAAACTTCTATAAACTAGGTTCAAACATTGAGTTCAAGACTTATTAAAAAACTGATTTTTAACTCTTTCTAAAACTATTCCTAATCATGCATTGTATTTACTCTTAGAATTTTTTTCTTTCATAATATTCAATGATACACTCTTTCTTGAGTCTTCTTTTTTAAACTGCTTTATTGATGTATGAAAAACAGTTTCTATATAGTACATATCTTCTCTGTTTTCCTGAATATTTTTCTGAAAGTGAAACCGAAAAAGAAGAAAAGCAGAAAATGAGAGAATTGTCTTTTTTCAATTATGAATGAAAAATTAGGAATATTGAATATTGTTATTACAGATGTGTAAGAAGACATTCATACAGTCAGATAGTCAATCTCTTCTGTTTAAAAATTTCTCTGATTTTATTCTATGATTTTGTTTACAATTATAATAAGAGAAAACAATAAAAATACAAGATGGGGTTACTTAATTTGCACAATGATTTCTTGACATAGGAGAGAGGGAGATTGTTTTATTTTACATGTAGGAGAAAATGGGTTCAGCAAATTATAAGGAATCAATTATAAGGAACCAATACCCAATTGACTAAATCATTTTTTTCTAATTTTTAAAAGCCTATGGAACCCAAGTGGGCCTTAGGGCATTACCAGTAGCCAATGTAGTTGATAAAATAATTTGCCTATAATGCATACAGAGCTGAGGCTCATGATTATTTGTAAACACTTATAAGGGTTTCCACCCTCGAAAAATTTGAAATTTGCTGTATTCTACAGCTCTGTTCTTCATAGTTCTTATGCTTGGTACATATAGCCATGTTTACTCAGGTTATCCTTTAAATGATGGCTTTTATGTGCTTAAAAAAATAAGAAGAAATGCCTTGCAGGTCTGAAATTTCAAGCTTGGCTTGGAATTCTCAGTTCATCTTTTTGCTATAGGAATTATGGTCAATAAAAAACAAAACCCAATGCAACAGTGGAATCTTTTCAGAAGTCCAGTTTTAAATATATCTTGAAACATTTTCACAGTATTTCCTCAGGATTCTTCCGTCAACCTGTTAACATTGAGTTTATCCTTATATAATTTAGAAGGAAGACAAGAAACACTGACAGAAGAAAGACCAGGAGAGTAAAGCACTGTCATTCTTTTTACTAGCAGTAAATATTTCTATAATAATAGCAGTTGGGAAACTATTAAGTTATAAGTAGTAAAAAGGAATTCTACAATCTCTTTTCTCCTTTTTCCTCTCCTCCCATCTAATGACTCTTTGAAGACCTTCTTTATGTTTTTCTGAATGTCTCATTGCCAACACCTTGCTTCTAATCCTTGGGGCTCACAGTATATGATGCTTTCTTGCCTGGGTACTGGTAGATTTCTTAGAATGCCTCTTCTTTCTCCTGAATAACTAATGTTCATCTTTTTAGAGACTACCAGCTTCAGTTTAGGTTTGTCTTCCTTTCTTCTTGGCAACCTTTCATGACCAAGACTGGATTGAATTTCTCTTCTCTCTGTTTGCAAATCCTCTGTGCATATGTCCATCATACTATTACTGATTTTTATCTACTATTATATTTGCATATGTTTCTATGACTCTCATTAGATTTTATACTTCTTAAAGGTAGGAATTTTGTGTTAATCACTGCTTGATGTATAGGAATGAAACAAAAGATTGATGGTGAAAAAATGGCAGATATAACATCTTCTGTCAGAAACTCTCTGCATGTTAATTTTTACGGGATTGGAAATTCAGATACTTAATTTCTTCTTTAACTTCAATAGAAAGGAGATAATATACAGCAGTGCTATCTTGAAAGCTGTTTTGATGTCTTTTATATTTTAAAAAGGTTTTTTCATCTTTTGCTTTTTGAACAGTAGCTAAGTTTTCATTGTGAAACCTGAGTACATTTAAGTTCAGATATGTCTGAAAGGATTAACAACTATATTTTATGAACCATTGGGGTGCCTGGGTGGCTCAGTCAGTTAAATGTCTGCCTTTGGCTCAGGTCATGATCCCAGAGTCCTGGGATCGAGCCCCGCTTCAGGCTCCTTGCTCAGCAGGGAGCCTACTTCTCCCTCTCCCTCTGCCTGCCACTCCCCCTGCTTCTGCTCTTTCTCTCTCTCAAATAAATAAATAAAATCTTAAAAACAAAAAACACCAAATATATTTAATGAACCATTATCTTCTACACCAGCCAGGCTTTATGGCTTTTCAGAATTATCTAAAACATATATCAGGAGATTTGACAAGGTTTATATTTTAGATGGGTAATAAAGTAATTTGACGGTAAGAGAGCTCTTACATCTTGACAGCAAAATACATCAGGAAAAAAAAATGTTACTTAATGAATAGTTTGCCTAAGTTTGATATTACTTTTAGACCTTGGCACAACTTAATTAGCAGATAGTAGCTATCTGAGTTGTAAATAAATGTGTCTTTTATTTTCTCAATAGCAAAAGAAGGGATTTATAGTGTAGTTAGTACCGGAAGGTGGGAAAGGTATGTCCCACGGGGTTTACCTCATAGTTCCCTTTATTTAGAGTTGATTTTCTTTTTTTTTTTTAAAGATTTTATTTATTTATTTGAGAGATAGAGAATGAGAGATAGAGAGCGTGGGAAGAGGGTCAGAGGGAGAAGCAGACACACTGCCGAGAAGGGAGCCGGATGTGGGACTCATTCCCAGGACTCCAGGATCATGACCTGAGCCGAAGGCAGTCACTTAACCAACTGAGCCACCCAGGCGCCCATAGAGTTGATTTTCTTTTAAGAAAGTGCTCACATTTCTGATTTTAACCATTTTTTCTGCATAAATGATAAAGAAGGGAAAAGTTTATGTCACAGTGTAAATCAGTAACTGTAGAATAGTAGATATGAAGAAGCATATTTGGTCACTATCGTAGAGGTAATTAAGGAGTGATCAGAGTATACTAATCTAGTGAGTAGAGAATTGATGGAACAGGATTTCAGTGTAATCCTAGAATACCTCTTTGCAAAATACTAATCAGTTACAAAGGGGGAAATCCAGTGAATTTAAGGTGGAGAAACTGGGCAGCAAAATTGCCAGGTGATAAGGATTTGTATCAGCAGTTGTGGGACAGATTGACATCCTGAGCTTCCTGATCTGATGCACTAAGCAATGCACATTATCATTTATGTGGGATTCCTGACAAGAATGCTTTACTAAGTCTGATCAGGAGGAACTACACTCAGACCCATGTTGAAGGTCATCTTGCAGAATATAAGACCCGAACTCTTCAAAGCCATCAAGGACATAAATGACGGGGAAAGACTAACGAACTGCAGAGAAGTGACAACTAAATGCAACCTGTATTCCTTGATAGCATTCTGGGAAGTGACCCTGTTGGGAGAGTTACCATTTGAATGAGGCCTTTGGATTGGAATGTAGTGTTGTGACAAACCTGCTTTTGGAATTTGGAACTTGCTGCTTATGTTAAGAAGATCTATGTTTTAAGTTATACTCCCTGGAGTGTTTGGGGTAGACAGAACCTCATGTCTGCAACTTGCTGTCAAAAGGTTCAGAAAAAGACAATAATAGTGCAGAAGCAGTTGGGCGGGCGCTCGAAGAAATGTGCTAATACATTAACAGTTGGGAAATCTGGGTGAAGAGTTCTTTTCAGTTTTCAACAATTTTAAAATTATTTCAAAATGATTAAATTTTTGGAAATGGTAAAACATGCATGTATTTATGAAGGAAAATTCTTGGAATAATTATTTTGGTTAGCATTTTTACAGTGAGAACTGTTAGAGGTTGTAAAAAATTAAAGGCAGGAAAAACTTAGGGAGAAGAGCATTGTGTTGCGTGCTGTTTGCTACACACTGTGCCATGTATTCCACACAGTCCCAAAATAAGTTCGTGCTTTTTTACTCAGAATTTAGTATAGCTGTTGGACATAATTTAGCAACTGAAACAAATGTATTCAACACTTACTGAATACCTGCTACATATCAGGCAGCATTCTAAGCACTGGGAGAACAGAAAACAAAATAAAATCTTTGCCCTCAAGGAATTGCATTTAGTGAAGAGAGACAGTGCTGAAATAAATAAAATATGTATACTGCTACATGGTGTTCAGTGCTCTAGAGAAAGGTAAATTAAGGAAAGGAGTCTGAGAACATTGGGGTGGGGATTGTAGTTTTAGGTATGTTAAGTCTATCTAAATAGGGTGATATTTGAGCAAATACTGATGGAAATGAGGAAGCAAGCCCTGTAGGAAGTAAATACTCAAGGGAAGTAAATTCTGGCAGAGCACACAGCAAGTGCAAATATAGAGGTGGAAGTTTTTGTGATATGGATACAAGGAGGCCTGAGGGGCCGGAAGAGAGTGAAGGAGCAGAAAGTAGTACGAGTAAGGTCAGAGAAGTAATGCAAAGTCAAATAGCACAAGCGTTGTAGTTCATTATGAGGACGTTTGTTTTTAATCTGAGTAAGGTGGGCAACCATTGGAGAGAGGGACTTGAGAAGGACAGAATATGATTTATATTTTAACAGTCACTGTGGCTATTTAGAGTAGATTATAGGTAGTTGAGGGCAAGAGAGAAATAAGGGAGACCAGTTGAATCTTACTGCAGCAAGGTGGCTTTTCCAAGGTGGTAACAGGAGAATTAATGAGTTGATGGGAAAACTGGTAGGGTTATCCATGTCTTTTAAGGATAGGACCAGTAGGATTTGCTGACAGGTTGAATGTAGGGCTTGAGAAATAGAAAGGAACCAGGGACTAACTCAGCAGTAGGAAAAGTAGTGCTGCCAATAATGGAGATGGAGAAGATTACAGGACAAAAAGACTTGAAGAGAAAGATCAGAAGTTCCCTTTTAGACATACTAAATTTGAGGTGCCTATCAGACAACCAGGTGGAGATGTTGACTAAGAAGTTTGAAATGCAAGTTCAAAAGAGAGATCCAGACTTGGGATACAGATTAAGAAGTCATTTAAACTATGAGACTATATGAGATCACTAAAACTATGTGGGAATAGGAGAAAAGAGGGCAGTTGCAAGACAACCAACACTGGAGGCTGTGATGGTGCACTGGAACCCAAACCTATTCTCAGTGGCCCCAAAAAGTAGCAGCTGCTAAAATAAAGGCAAAACCATGAGAGTATAGTATGCTGAAAGCCAAGTGAAGGAAATGGTTTCAGAAAAGAATGGGAGGAGGGGAACGGGGCAGTAAAAATAGATGAGTTTTTTTTAAGAGTTTGCTGTTAAAAAGCAGAAAAATGGGGCAGTGGATGGTAGGAGGAAAGGAGCCAAGAGTTTTGTTTTTAGCTGGGAAAAGTTAAAGCATGTTTATATGTTGATAAGAATGATCCAGTAAAATGGAAGCCTAGGTAATACAGGAGAGGGAAGGAAATTGCTGAGTAGTGTCCGTAAGTAGGCAAGAAGGGCTGGGTACTGTTGCACCAGTGGAAGGACTGGCTTTAGAAGCATGGCCATTTCGGGGCACCTGGTGGCTCAGTCAGTTAAGCTTATGGCTTGATTTCAGCTCAGCTCATGATCTCAGGGTCCTGGGATCAAGCCCCACGTCAGGCTCCGAGCTTCTTGGGGGAGTTTGCTTGAGATTCTCTACACCCCACCCCATCCCCCGACCCCAGCTCCGTGTGTGCGCTCTCTCACGCTCGGTCTCTCTCCGTCTTTCTCAAATAAATAAAATCTAAAAAAAAAAAGAAAAGAAAAAAGAAACATGGCCATTTAATCCATTGTAATAGGAGGGAACACTAATACAAGTGGTGAGAATTTGTAGAAGGCCCCTCATTGTTCCTGCTTTCTCAGTAACATTGTAAGCAAAATCATCAGCTGAGATTGAGAATGGGAGAGGAAGGAGAGCTAGAGATTTGAGAAGAAAATTCGAACAGTCATTTAAGAGAGTAGGGAAATAAAGTACCAGAAAAATGTCATGATAGCCAGTCAACCTTAGGGGCCTACTTGAAGTAAATTGTCATGTGTTTATTTGTCCAGTTATATCTGCAGAGGCAAAAGTTGGGTTTAACTAGGGTTGTTTTATTTTGTTGGGGGAAAGGTTGAGAGGGAAGGGAGTATGTGAGAGAAAGAGGTATCGAGGGTATATGCAACGTGATTATGGTGATTGACCCTGGGATTTCAGCGGGGTAAGGTTACTGGTGAGGTGAGATCAAAGGACAGGGAAAAATTCTAAGAGCACTTATAGGACCTTAAGGTTTATTGGATTATTGGTACTTGGGCACTAGAGAGAGGTGGAAAGAAGGATCAGCTGGTTGGATATTAAAATCGTCAAGAATTATGACAAAAGTAATGTTAGAGATGGTGATAATGAGCCAGGAACTAAATTCTTCAAGGACTGAGGGAGAATGACCAAGTATTCACTGAGGACAACTTCCACAGTGGGGAAGGAGGTGGGTGGTATTATGTGATGACATGAGATTGAAAACATAGGAGCAAGGAGAACCATCCCTAGCAGGCCAATTTATGGGCTGAGATTAATTTGTACTTTCCATAACTCATTAGCCCCCTAATCTAAATTTTGGATCCTTCTTTAAAAGAGTAAGTAAAATAAATAAAAGAGCAAATGTGTTAAAATTTATTTTACAAATATTTAGTTGGTGCTTCCCTGAAGTTTTAGTAATTCAAAAAACTGACTTTAACCAACCTACCACTTTAAGATACTTTTCAGTTTTGTGTTCAGTAGTATAGCTAGTTGAATTATATCTCAAAACTTTTAACATGTTAAAGAAAATACTTATCCACGTTTATAACTTAGATATGATTACATATTTTGTGTTAGCATACATACCAGAGACCATTTTTTGTGTATTTACTGGGAACTTAATAAATTATTTGCTTGATTAAAGACACCAATGTTTAGTTGTCTCTCCTTTCTTCTAGATTACATACCGGTTACGGCACCTTCTTCGAGCAAGGTGTGATGCTTCCCCAGTGACCAACAATACCATCCAGTTTCACTGTGATCCTAGTTTCTGGGCTCAAAATATTATCAATTTAGGTAGGCCCTTATGTCCGTTTTCTCAAAGTGCCATTTGTTTCTAGAACTCTTCATGATTACGATATGTTATTGAAAATGTATTCCCTTCCACCCCTGAAGTGTTTTTATTACCTTGTTTTGAAGACATGGAATTTTTGCCAGTATTTTATTAATGTTATGTATATATGTGTGACGCATGCATGAATACAAGTACACGTGTAAATAAATGGATATGAACATCCTTTATATCGACTCACAGGGTATCTAGACTTTGGGATTTAGAAGTTCTTTTTTCCATAGACTCTTGTTTCTATTGTTAACTATAGGTTTATCAGAATGGGGTAATAAAACTTTTGACTCATGACTGCCATTGATACAGGATTTTTGATATTTGGAATGTTTTCTGATAAAATAGTATTTCTCCTATTGGCTTACTTATTCTTTATATCCAGTCGTGAAGCACCTAAGGGTTCATTTGCTTGATCTTGCTAGGGGAGACTTCTCATTTTTTTATTCTGCCTTTTATGTAATAACTACATATTTTTAAACTTCCAAATTAGAGTGTAACATGCACACAGAAAAGTGCCCCAGTTTTAAGTATTAGAGCCCACTGATTTATCACAAAGGGAGACTATCATTTTGGCAAGATTAGGAGCTCAAATATCTTTGCAGGCAGTTCAGCAGAAAGTTATTCCTTTAGCTTCCCTACAGTATTTGCTAGTAGAAAAAGTCTTCCCTTTTTGCCTCTTCATTTTTCACAGGGAATCTATAGAAGTAGAAATGTAAGAATTCCCTATACATTCTTCATCAACCACCAATGCAGTCCCTTTGATGACAGTTTTTGGTCTCATTGACTATGTTTCAAAATCATCAAAGATGGTTGCTCTCCCTCCCTAGGCTAGATTCTGGGTAGGAAAGGAAGAAATGGCTGGAAAGGGAGAGAGCCAGTGCTGTCATAATATACCAAGAAAGGAAGCAATAAGCTTACACAAATCTCATCCATACAACAGAAGAACAAAAAGGATGGTGATAAGGTGACCCCTGTGGCTCAGTTTCAAAGTGCATGCAGCAACGTATTTATTGATAGGTAGCAGGCATCTGGAATCACACACAGTCTCACCTATATTACTAAAAAGAAGCATCTTAATACAAAGTGTGTTTATAAGTAACTCTTACCCTTCCCCACTGAACCACCACACAGTTAGCTCTACAGAGTACCTATCCACATAATATATCATATACGGAAATATATGTACTTATAAGCATATTGCTTATACTATAAAACCACATGATGTAGACATAGGTAAAATTAAGAATATGTGTGTAACTATACACACATAAGTGGATATAGTTTTAGATAAATCTGTATCAGCAAAAACAAAATAAAAACAGCATCCCTATTTGTGAAGTTTGTGAAAATCCTATAATAAAATTAAACCGTATCCTTTACTGTAAGTCTTCTCAGAGCTATCATGTACAGCTGTGTAAATTGTCATTTACAATGAGATTTGCATTTTAAATATTCTAAGAAGGAGACAAGTTTCCCAAACTTGTTTATCCATGGCTTCTGAGAAATAGAAGAGTGTGAGGGAAAAATATTGATATAGATGAACATTCAATTAATGTCTTGGTGAGTTTGGGTAAGTTGTTCAATCTCTCTGAACCCTTAGATCCCTTATCTATAAAAAGGACTTATGGATATACATAGACTTAATATCATATTGCCTCACATACAGTGAGTATTTAATGAATGATAACCATATTTTTTTAGGATGTTTATGCTTAGTAAATCAGAAACATTTGAGTCTCTACTGTTGAAGAAGTCAAGCTTTGCCTTGTGCTTTAATCAGACCTATTCAGAGGCACCCTTAAATTCTAAAAGTGTAACTGTAAGCCAGAGTATTGTCTGTCAGAGAACTGATGTATTATGTACTGTGAAGACATAAGGATTTGAGAGATTACGAATTGCTCATACTAAAGAATCAGAAATATATTGTGGAGTTTTAGAACCAATGTCAGGTTTGCCTGTTTTGTTTTGATAAACGACTGCAGTTAAGACATAGTATGAGGCTTCTTGAGCACACTACAAGGCCTCCCTTTTTCAACTACATGTCTGTTTGTGGCCGGTTTTCTTCAGGTATTTCAACCCAAACAATGTATAATGACAGATAGTGCAAAAACAGATAGGAGAGTTCAACTTTTAGGCGAGACATGTTACAGAGATTTTTAAAAATACTAAAACAATCACTAATATTTTTGAAAAGTTATTTTTCATAAAAATGTGTTATTATGGGTCTGTTATTTTTAAATGAATTAATAACAAGTAAAAAATGTTTTTAATGGTTTCTAATATGGTAAAATTTGATAGCTAGAACTTACATAAGCAAAAGCTCTTCGGGGCCTTCTATTTTTAAGAGTGCAAACTGTTTCTGAGACCAAAAAATTTCTTGGCAATTTGGAGTTCAGCAAAAATAGCCTTACAAAATACGGTATTTCACTATCAGAAGAACTTGAGAACTCAACTTTTTCTCTTTGATTAGGTTCTTTAGTAATTGAAGATAAAGAGAGTCAGCCACAAATGCCTAAGCAGAATCCTGTCGTGGAACAGAATTCACAGCCACCAGGTGGTTTATCTTCAAACCAGTTATCCAAGTTTCCAACACAGATCAGCCTAGCTCAGTTACGACTCCAGCATATGCAGCAACAGGTAATGGCTCAGAGGCAACAGGTGCAACGGAGGCCAGCACCTGTGGGTTTACCAAACCCTAGAATGCAGGGGCCCATCCAGCAACCTTCCATCTCTCATCAGGTAAATTTGGAAGCAGGCCTGTCCTAACTTAGATAATTATAGTACAATTGTATTCAGCATCTCTTAAGATAACCAAGACATCTGTCATCTATGATCTAAATATATGAATCTACAAAACTTTATCAAAAGTATCCCTGAGTTAACTCCTAGTTTTTAGTCCTTCACAAAAAGAAATTAATGGTTTATTGAGCTGGTACAACTATTTTCATCTACTCTTTGTTGTCTTCAAATTATAACCGAGGATAAATCGTTGCATTCCTAAACAACCCATGCCTATGGCTGATGGTAAAGTTGTGTATCTGTAACTCATCATTCCTGTGTTAGTGTTTCAGAATGATTTGTTCTTCAGTTATCTGGTCTTTGTGGGGAGGCACTGTTGAGGAAAACCACTGCACATCTTAGAAATTAGGGTAAAACGAAATAGGAAAGGGTTGGGGAGTGGTTCACTAGAAATCTCCCTTCTTCAGACTCTATTTCTGAGCAGGTATTCCATGAACCATTCTTATTTTTACTAGGTATGAAGTACTCCATTTACTTCTAATCTGATTTTTGAAGATAAGTTTATATGCTCTGTTAAGGAGTTTCACCATCCTGCTCAAGTTAGATCTGGGCATACTTACTAAAAATTTACTCAGGAATGTAAAGTCTTAGTAATTCATACAAATTGTTATTTATTAATTTATACTCTTCCTATTTCTGAGAAGGATTTGAAGTGTTATACTTCAAATGGATTGACACGAATGAAATGGAACAGGGTTTAATAAGAATTAAAGTGTGCAGAACTAGGCTAAGAATTCTTTTTACTTGAGAACAAGACTTAGAGCAGAATTTTTTTCTCAACCAAAGAAAACAAGAAACAGATATAATATCTATATTATTTGGTAAAAAGGAAACATGCCAGTTAACTAGGGAAGAAACGTTTTACTAGTATTTTTCTAGCACTAAGAGGAATGTATAATGTGGTTCTTTATGAAAAAGTAATTAAATGGCATAATAGTATTTTTTGTAGCAAATTTACAAAATGTGGAATTGGTCTTCATAGGGCTCTTACTTCAACCCTGAATAAAGTTATGGACATGGGTAGATCCTGATTTTGTCAAGTTGCTTCTGTGAAGACCTAAAGCAATTTATTTCAGGCTTATGGTTTTGTAGAATTTGATTAAGAAGGCATGTCAAATCCAGGGGAATATTAATACACCCTGTAGATTATTCCTCTAGAACTTTGTTAATTAATAAAGAATTTAAGAGGTCTTTGGTGAGTGTTCCATGGCAAAAGACTTGTACACTTTAGATACCAGGAGCACAACTGACAGAGTTGAAATTTTAAGAAAATTGAGGAGTAATTTTGTCATTACCTCTGCAGACTGATACACTGCAGGTAGACTTCAAAGAGTACCAAAATATTTCTAAAGATAAATTTAAAAAGAAAAGAGAGTTGAGTGCCTAGTACTAAGCATTTGCATGATTAATATTTAAGTGTCTGGAAGATAGAAAAGTGATTTTTATTTAAGTTTATTAATGTGAAAAAAAGGATAAATTCATTATTTGTGTTAATTGCCATTTCACTAAGAAGTAAGGAACTGAGGCAGTTAGTAGATTCTTTGTGACTTGGTCCCTCTATCATTGTTATTTATAAGCAGTGACAAAGAAAATGATCTCTGAGCCTTTGGTCTACTTATCTCAGAAATTTGCTTTTGATCTTATTTTTCCTCTCTAGGATTTACTGCTGTATAATCTATATAATACACAATCTGTATTATGAAACCTATTTTTCCCTCTTAGAAATAAAGTAATTTTCACATCTTATGGTCATTTCCTCACACAGTATTGTTTTTCTACTACTTTCAATGACTCCTGAATCTTCTTTCATACTCTCATCTCTCATTTTTATGTGTTCTCTGCCAAATACTCATACATTTTTCACTCGTCAATTTGTCCTCCTCCACAAGCTTTTACACTGCTCTGCCTAGCTGTGTACTTCGTTTCCTACCAGTTTATTTACATATAAGTGTGGGAAGGTGTCTGTCTATAAGGAGGCTGTGTGTGCCTCTGGCTTTGTGGGTATGCTCAAATCATACTCTACATCTGTCCATAGGACACAGTTAAATTTAATTGCTTACATGAGAGTTCCTTATTTCTTCTTCCTCTGAATATTAACCATGTAATCTGCATGGTTAAAGAGTTGTGTGGTGCAAAGGTAGGATACAGAACTAAGTGATACAAACCTGATAGACTGTGCCTCTGTTTATTCAGCACTATGCCGTCTACTCCAGTGGACAGGTTGCAGTTTGTTAGAGAGCACTGTCACCTGTGTTGTTTTATACATAATTCACAGCAGCGGTTCTCACTCCTGAGTCACATTTACTGCTGTGGAGATACTCTTGTACATATGTGTACATTAATTTTCCTGAACAGTGGATGGATGTTAGAAGGACATCTGCTATCCTTCATGGTTATTATGCACAGCTGGGGACTACTGACCTAGAATACAATCAAAACCTATAATCATAAAGGTACTTAGAGTGAGGGTGAGGATAATGATGTTTATATGTCAGTTTGCTTAAGTGCTCAATTATTTCTCTGTTCTCTTTTTTCCTTCTGTATCTTCCTTGCAAATTAGTTGATTCCATTTAATTAAAGTAGCACTGGTTTTGCTTTTTCTCTTATGCTCATAACTAGTTCCTAGTCTTATTCTTCAAAGTTGCCTCCCCTGCTAACACAATCAAGTATAACAATTTAGGAGAGGGGAAAAAAAGCCCCTCACGTCTTATCAAACTCTGAGCTCCTTGATGGCAGGGTTGACATCCATTCCGACACCGATTTCTCAGAGTACGTTATTCGAGCATCAAGTGTCACTTCTTGACTTTATCAGTGTATAAATCTCAGTCTGGTGGGGCTGTGAGAGTGGGGTAGCAAAGGGCTAATGTAAGTTCCTTTATTCTCTCTTAAAGACCGTTTTGGATGATTTCCACACTTTTTAAAAAGGTATCACTTAGATAAATTTAGAAGTTTTTCACTATTTCCACTGTAATTCCCCAACTGTTTTCTGTTTGTGTTTCTCTGATACAAAACCCTTCAAATCACAAAACTTTAAAAATCAAAGAGAATTGCTATGGCTTCAGGCTTATGTGTCCGTACAGTTATGACATTTCCTCTAATATTTTTCTCTTCTGCACCCACAGAATTTCCCTTGGTCTTGAAACAGTATCTAAATCTATTTTTCATTGGGTCCATAATTGCTGGCCACTCTTGAGAGTTACTGAGGGTGAACCCAGTGCCAACTAATTTGTAAGAGAGGGGAAAGAGAAGCATTTACCCAGGAAAAGAAAGTAAATTCCACAAATGAGAAAGGAAAAGCAAAAATAGAGGGCAGGCCTCCCTTTTATAGCTGTCTTCCTTCAGATGACCAAAAGTTAAGGTGCTGTTACTTCAGCCCTACAAATTTCACGTTTGTCCCTTTGTGAATATGGAAGTTAATACTCCCCTTTCTGAGAAGTTCTAATCATATACAGTTTAGAGAGCTAAAAATAAGTACTTGCTTTACAATAAGTTGCCAACCATAGAATTGGTTCACCACGAGACTGTGACTGGCATATAAGGTTACCTTTTTTTAGAACATTGGTCTCAATTTCCAGGGCTAGCATTTATGCACAAAGAGGGTTTGCCTTCCCAGCCTTTGCCCTATCATGTAACCCACCAATGTTGTCCTTGAAGAGTTTCCATTTGAAATCTATTTTTCTTTAGGGAAATTCGTCCTCTTAGCTCTAATGAGTACCTTAATCTGCCCCCAGCTACACCCAGCAGGTGTTTTGGTGATGACATGGCAGAGTAGATTTGGATTAAAGATCTAGTGCTGCCTTTTACTAGCTGTGTGACCTTTTTCAAGTTCTCTAAGCTTTCTAATGTTCAGTGTCCTCATTTGTGAAATGAGGGGAAGGTAATAATGAAGTAACACATGTAAAATGCTAATCATAATGCCTGGCATTTGGTTTGACCTCAGTAAGATCTAAAACTCATTAATTTTTAAATGTTATTAATAACAACTGTTTTCCTTATTCATGATTTATTGGTTAAGAGTGCAGACCTTGGAGCCAGAGTGCTTGAGTTCAAGTTCCAGCTTCCTCTTTTATTATTTTCATTAATCTGAGGCAGGTTATTTAAATTCTCTATACCTCAGTTTCCTTTTCTGTAAAATGAACAGAATCCCTACCTCATAGTATTGTTGTGAAGATTACATGAATTAACTCATGTAAAGCCCTTAAAGCAGTACCTGGCATGTAACAACGGCTCCGTAAATGCTAGCAATTATTATTCTACCATCAGATTATTTTAGGAGATCTGAAGAGGGCAGTTCTTTGCAAAATGTAATCATCGGGGACTTCTAAGGATACGAAACACAAATTTTCCCTACTTCGTAACATGGCCTACGTCCAGTCCTTTTGTAACCTACTTGAAGTTGGAAACGCCTCTCCCAAGGCTCTTTCCTAATAAAACTTTTCACATAGTTATACACATTCTGGAAGGCTGCCTCCTTCCCCCATACCCTTGTTGTAGTATTAATAAATTATTCATCTGTGACAGAGGTGATGTCTTTCTGTGAAAGTTACAGAGTTCTCTATAATTTGTCTTACAAGAGATGATTGTCACTAAATTGGCATAATTTCTTTTTTCCAGCAACCCCCTCCACGTTTGATAAATTTTCAAAATCACAGCCCCAAACCCAATGGACCAGTTCTTCCTCCACATCCTCAACAGCTAAGATATCCACCAAATCAGAACATGCCACGACAAGCAATAAAGCCCAACCCACTACAGATGGCTTTTTTGGCTCAACAAGCTATAAAACAGGTATATATATTTACTTTCTTCAGCTTCTTGTTCTGCTTCTCTATTTTCAAATCACATTAAATTTATAGATAAAGCAATGAGGAGCCAGAGCGAGCATTTTTTGGGGGGGGCAGGATTTATTTATTTGAGAGAGAGAAAGTGTGTGAGTGGTGGGGAGGGGCAGAGGGAGAAGGAGAGAGAATCCTCAGGCAGACTCCCTGATGAGCATGGAGCCCAACACGGGGCTCAATCCAGGACCCTGAAATCATGACAGCCGAAATCAAGCGGTTGGGTGCTTAACTGACTGAGCCACCCAGGTACCCCCCTTCTTTTTTTTTTTTTAATAAATGTGAGTTACAAAGTTTATTATACACAGACCTAAAGAGACAAAGCTAAGAGAAAAGGTCTTGATTTGTAATTAACAAGAAAAATCAAGCCACTTATATTGATATTAGAGTGAAGTCCCAGAATAATCAGCAAGTCATAGGTATGAATTTTGGCAATACTGATAGGTATAGCTTTTAGCAGAGTGCATTAAGACAGAAGTATTCTAACAAATACAGATTATACTTCTGCAAAAGAGAACATGAATGAATCTTTAAATTGTTACAAGGAGGGGCACCTGGATGGCTCGGTCATTAAGCGTTGCCTTCGTCTCAGGGAGCCCCTCATAGGGCTCCCTGCCTCGCGGGAAGCCCACTTCTCCCTCTCCCACTCCCCCTGCTAGTGTTCCTGCTCTTGCTATCTCTCTCTCTGTCAAATAAATAAATAAAATCTTTAAAAAAAAAAAAAAAGGCTGCAGGGAATGCCCCGTGGCATTCCTATAAAAAAATAAAAATAAATAAAAAATAAATTGTTACAAGGAGACTTCCTAAAAACAAACTGACAGTTTTAATATGGGGTACGTATATATCTGATTAAGTTTAATACTTAATTATATATTAAATCCGATAAAGTTTAATATTTATATTCTTAATGTCTTTGGGTAAAAATATTTTTTAGATATGACATTACTTTTTTTTTTTTAAAGATTTATTTATTTATTTTGAGAGAGTGAGAATGAGAGAGAGAGAGAGAGTACATGAGAAGGGGGAGGGTTGGAGGGAGAAGCAGGCTCCTTGCCGAGCAGGGAGCCCGATGTGGGACTCGATCCCGGGACTCCAGGATCATGACCTGAGCCGAAGGCAGTTGCTTAACCAACTGAGCCACCCAGGTGCCCCATGACATTGCTTTTTACCAAGTAAAAGTTCGGGGCGCCTGGGTGGCTCAGTCGTTTAAGCGTCTGCCTTCGGCTCAGGTCATGATCCCAGGGTCCTGGGATCAAACCCCGCATCAGGCTCCCTGTTCTACGGGAAGCTTGCCTCTCCCTCTCCCACTCCCCACTGCTTGTGTTCCCTCTCTCGCTGTCTCTCTCTCTCTGTCAAATAAATAAATAAAATCTTTAAAAAAAAAAAAAAAAGTTCTGTCTTTGTCTTCTCTAAGAACTCATGTCAAATCTTTCCAGCTTAACACTTGTAGATTGAGTTCAGTTTTCAGTTTTTTTGCCAAAGCCAAAATAAGGAATATGATGCTATTTTCATAATTCTGTGGCATTCATTTATGAAAATTCTATTCTAAAAAGTACACACACTGTGTGTGTGTGCGCGCGTATGTATGTGTGTGGTTATAATTAGTTTGGCTTTGCTGTAATATCACCAAACTAATTCTTAAATAATATTTAATAAAAATACTTTTAAATAAAAGGCATACCTTTCTCTATTTCATCGGTAGAGGGAGGGACAAGGGGCCCAAGCTACAGTTTAGCCTTAAATTCTGTTTACTTTCCAAATAATTTTGTGACCTTGTACAAGTTTAATCTTTTAAATGTCATTTACCCCACCTATACATTGAGTACCTTGCAGAGTTGTGCTGAAACTGAGTGCTAACATACACAGAAACATCTAGCACATTCTTTGTACACAAATGTGTACTTTACCTCTTCCTCATTTATTATTTTTAATGGGTAGACACACGCTCTAAAAATGTTTTTTAAAATGTTTCCTGATCAAAAATGTAAACATGAATGAATAAATGAGCAAACTAGGAAAATATAGTGGGGAATTGGTTTTCAGTTGGTTAATTTAATAAACTATAGCATACTTGCACAGGGAGAATACTTTCAGCTCTTGAGAAAATGCAGTAAACTATATGTGCTTATGGTATGTGGGAAAAACCATGTTCTAGAATTTTTGTGGGGTATTATCTCATTTTTCTGGTTGTGCATGTGTTTTATCATATATATATATGATATATGTGATATGTATATACATCATATATGACCTATGTATGATATGTATATATACATGATATATATAAATCTGGAAAGATAACACATTTTCTGTAACTGTGATTATTCTGTGGGAGGGAAGGAGGATTAGGGTCCAAAGAAAAAGATGGACGGATGGATGGATGGATATGAGGGTAGGTAGGTGGTGAAGACATTCACAGGTGTCTTTACACAATTTTTTCAGTAAAGAATATAAATTAGATTTTTCAAAATTGGAATGCTTCTGACACTATCACTCTATATAGGGTAGTCTACATATAAACAGTGTGTTTGGAGATTTTTTTTTTCCCTTGCATAGTCTTGAGATACCTCTTAGTTGCCTTCCTTTTCACCTATATTTTATTGTGAAAAATTTCAAACACAAGTTGAAAGAGTTGTATAGGAGACAAAGTGTTCTATTTGCCTTCTCATTTATTCTTCCATATACCTATCTATTCATCCATCTATCAAGTGTTCTTATTTTTTGATAGGTTTTGAAGGAAATTGTAGAGAGCATCATGGCTCATCTCTATACTTCTCATTCCTAATATTCTCTTAGTTACTATAGCTTTTTTAACATAAATGACGAAGAGTTTCCTCAAATGTTTGTTGAGGTTTATTTATCTGTTCGTATATAAGAAGTGAGTTTTAAGAAAGTCCTGAAAGCCTTGGTCTGGAGCTAATGCTTGATGATTAAGATTTCACGGTAGATTTAAGGCTACGAGGCAGATTTATTGGGAGAATTCCTAGTGTTTCCATCTTTCAGTCTTCTTAGGCTGGTTCCTCCAATTCCCAGAGGATCTTCCTGTCCTCTGCCTAAAATGTAGAGCCTGGCTGCTCCTTGAAGCCACATGGGTAAGAGTGGTAGGAGGCCAGTGGCAGTGTGAGTGTGCTTTCTTCATCTTCATCTTCATCTTCATTTTCAGTGCACTACTTTTCTGCCTTCTGCTGAACCTGGTGCCTTTCAGTGAAATGACACTGTTTTACCTGTTTTAGAGAATAAACTTCCAGCCTTCATCTGTGGAGGTGGAGGAAGTCCGTATTATCTTGGGGTAACTACAGGTAAAGTAGGAAAGGAACATGAGCTTCAGTGCTGCTTAAACAGACTCGCGACAGATTATCCTGTGTTCAGCCCCAGATTTACCTCTCGTGCTTCTAATTTCCAAGCCCTTAGGGGTTCTGCAGTCTATGTTGACTGACTTCTCTGTTTTCCCCACTGCCAGCTTGGGTTTCAGCTTTATCAAATTGATAAGTGGTTTGCTGTTTGTCCATCTTCTTTCCAGCTTCCAAAATGGGATTTCTGTCTTCTTTCCTATGGTTTTTGAGTCAAAAGCCTTTTTAAAAAATTCCCCTTAACTGTTACTTTAGTTTCAGGTGTCTCAGGTAGGGACAGAAGAAAATATAAGTGTTTAGCCCTCCATCTTTACCTCAGAGTTGCTGTCTCTGTGTATATTTCTTTTCTAGTATATGTAAGCTTTCCAAGATGGGGTATTTTGGTTTTCTGGTGCATACTAACTGTTTTCTGGTTAAAAAATCAGTGCTTGGGCGCCTGGGTGGCTCAGTTGGTAAAGCGGCTGCCTTCAGCTCAGGTCCTGATCCCAGGGTCCTGGGATCGAGTCCCGCATCGGGCTCCCTGCTCAGCAGAGAACCTGCTTCTCGCTGTTCCTCTGCCTGCCTCTCTGCCTACTTGTGCGCTCTCTCTCTCTCTCTCTATCTCTGTCAAATAGATAAATAAAATCTTTAAAAAAGAAAAATCAGTGCTTTTTGTTTTACATTTTTGGATAGGATTAATGAAAATTATATATATCTGTCCATCTCCTTCCTCCCCCCCGCCCCCGTCGCCGCCTTTCAGTTCAAATTATAGTTGAATTCAAATAGCAGAATGTGTCTTCTACTTTGTTTTGTAAGAAAGGAACAGGGATTGGTTGGACGTTTCATGTTTTGGCCTGATAGACACCCTTTCTCCTGTCTTGCTGCTGTAGTGGCAGATCAGCAGTGGGCAGGCTGCCACATCAACCGCCAACAGCACGTCCTCGACTCCTTCTAGTCCTACCATTACTAGTGCCGCAGGATATGATGCAAAGGCTTTCGGTTCACCGATGATTGATTTGAGCTCACCAGTGGGAGGTTCTTACAATCTTCCTTCTCTTCCAGATGTAAGTATACACAAAATTTATACTGGTGTTTCGAAAATTTTAAGTGAACTTAGATCTGGTAAAAGGCTTGAGTTAGTCGGATTATAGGTTGTGTGTTTGGTTTTAGAAGTTATTTTTATTCTTTAGAAATACAACAACAGAAAAAATAAAAACGCTAAGCATTTAAACATACTATAGAACATCTTTCACGGCACTGCAGTTAAAGGTATCTGTCAATGAATGATTATAGTAATGGACTAGGGAAAGCAGGGAAGTAAGGACCTGGGCAGAGGTACTGGAAAGTTGAGTTGCTGGAATGTGCTATATTAGAATAAGGTTGGCAGGGGAGGCTAGAATTGAAGACATCAGAAGAGGTGGAGACAAGTTTAACAATGAAAATGAAAACATTTCCTCCCAGATCATACTGGCCAGTGCGGAATTACCTCTGATTTAGTTTATATTTAAATTAAATACATGTACTTGCTGTCTTTGTCAGTATGACTTTTTAAAAAATCTTTTCCAAAGGCAGAAAATACAATATTCTATAGTCAGATCTCCAAGTATAAGTTGATACTTACTTTACCTTACCTTACCCTGTAAGGTTAGATAATTGTGACACAAACATTAAAAACTTGCAAGAAATATCTTGTCAGATTGTAAAATAATTTTTTCAATTTTCATTTAGTTAGTTTTTCAAGTTACTGAGATCATCTAATATTTCCTACTAGTTGCATCGTTAACCTTACCAGAGTTACTTAATTTTGTAAAATAATTGCATATACGTTAAATGGGTAAAGTACATGTATTTTTCATACATAGGTGGTACATAGGAAAACTTCTTTTGTCTCACTCCTACAATTTTATTTCAGCTTTTAGGATTACCTTGCAATGTAAATAACTTTTCTTACATTAAGAACCAATAGATCCAGTCACATTCCAGTATGTTTTACACTCTGAAAAGTATTGGCCAAGGTATTGCCAAAAGAATATTAACATAAATGACCCTGTGTACTTACTCCCTACCCTAAAGAGAACCCACAGACAGTAGAATTGTCCTTCTGCTCTTTTCTCTGCAGTCCTTAGATACAGGTGACCCTTTGTCTCCCAGCCTTGCTCAACTGAAATTCTGTATCTGAACCATAGAATAAAGAAGCTGATTTGAGTGACCATTTTCTCAATCACCTCAAAGATGGTTCTTAATTAGCACCATTGTAGATGGAGAGTTGAAAAGTAAATTCATCACACGCAATCTGTGCCCTAGGACAGTAGGACTTAAGTCTCTTGCAGAATCCTGATTGAGAAAGGCTGGAACTATGTTAGAGAATTAAACTTCAACTTTAATCACAAAGACATTTTGGGGAAATAAATGGTCTATTTAAGCATGGAAAGTATTCGCATCTAAAGAATAAAGTCTTATTCAGTAGAAATTTATCAATATTTTAGCCGAGCAATCAATTAAGAAAGAACTGTTTCCTTTATACCTGTTATATTAAAGCAAGAATCTAGAAAGGATCCATTCTTCCTACCAAATAGTAGTAATGTACTTAAGTGAGGTTATTGTTCTAGAAATGTGTTATGTGTGGGCCTGCTTGATCTATGTAGTGCATACCATAGCACCAGTTCTCAATGTGAGCCAAAGACATGGGGGTCAGAGGCTCCACAAGGTCCTTCCTTTGTAAGGCCAGATTTTCTTCATATTCTTCAACCAAAACCACACATCATAGCAGATTGTGTGCCGAAGCAGATATAAGAATCCAGTTGGCTGTTAGTAAGCCAGACACTAAAGAGGTTTGCTAAAATGGGAAACTGCTATTTTTCTCATCAACTTTTTTTTTTTTGGCTACCTTTTGTTATTTTTAAATAAGTTAAGAAGTATTTTTTTTGTTTCAATTTTTACGGGTGTGAATGACACATGATACTCCCTTATCCTTGCTCATAACTTCTGAACTAGTATGTCCTCAGCATATTTACTAAGATGGAACATTAAGAAGAATGAAAGCTTTTTTCAAGATTGTTTATGGGGAAAATATGCATCAGAACTTCTCAGATAGGATATTTACATATTTTATTATTTGACAGTAATTAAACTATTAAAGTTTTCTATTAAATTTAAACTAGCTTTTAACTTGCAAAGTCAGGATGCCGTGAAATAATTTCTTTTCTTGTAAGATTGACTGTTCAAGTACTATTATGCTGGACAATATTGTGAGGAAAGATACTAGTATAGATCATGGCCAGCCAAGACCACCCTCAAACAGAACCGTCCAGTCACCAAATTCATCAGTGCCATCTCCAGGCCTTGCAGGTAAAGTGGGCTTCTTTTGATTTTGTGAGTGTTTTCCCATTTTTTACTCTACTTGTAATGACTCCCCACCCCTTTTTGTTGGATGATTAAAATGAGTCTGAGTTTTTGGCACTATTTAAAATTAGTATACTTTCAAAGTGGGAAGCAAAGGTTAAACCTCTGTACCTTTTCAGTTTCAATAAAACATAGGCATGAGAGCATTCCCAGGAGGAAATTAGCACTATACATTCTCTTTTTGGTAAGTTTGCCTGTGTTGTGGTCTCTTTTTTGGATATGAGTTGCCTAGGGTCAAAATTTATCAGTGTCAGTCACTTCTTGGTGGTTTTGTTTGGTATTTAATTAATGTTTAAGGATTTCTGACGTATCTGCTCATTTCCTTTGAGAGAGAAGCACTCTAATACCTACTCCCAGAGACCTTGGCAAAATAGGTGCCTTAGAACAACATAAGGAAGGAGGGGAATTTCTTAAGTCATTCACCAGTCACACAAACGTAATAAAGCAGTTATGCAATTTAAAAGGAGATGGTTATTTAAAACATAAACAAACTTAAAATACAAACAGACTGGAAGAACACTGTTGACAAAATATGGCAGAGAAACTGTTTAATTATAAAACAAGTTTGTACAAATAAATAAGGAAAGTACTCAGTATTGCCCAAGGACATGAGTAGATAACTCCCTGAAGAGGAAATACAAATAGCCAGTAACTTGGAGAATTCAGTCTCACTCGTGGTTATTAAGAATATCAAAACAAGATATAATTTCTAACTGTTGAATTAGCAAAGACTTAAATAGAGAAAATACTCATTGATAAGAATTTGATGAGAGAAGTACTCTGATACATGGGTGGCGGGAATATAAGTTGACAAAACATTTCTGGAAACCATTTTTACAATATTACTAAAGCTGACATTTGTCCTTTGCTGACTGTGCTAGGCATTGGACGAAGTATCTTAAATGCATTGCCTAGTAGAATATTTGTTTCAGTATCTCCATTAATTGGTCTCTGTGTGGCTTTCTTTCTTGGACTGCTTTTATATCAGTGCCTACCACTTTTTATTGTCTTCTGTAGCTTTCACTGATGCTAGTGTCCTCACTGAGATTTACCCTGGTTACTCTAATGTGGGACATTTGACAGTGTTTGGAAACATTTTTGATTGTCACACCCTGGGTGGAAAATATAGAGGGATACTACTGACATCTAATAATTAGTAGAGGCCAGGGATGCTGCTAAACATCCTACAATGCACAGAGAGGCCCCCCCCCCAAACAAAGAATTATCTGGCCTTAAATGCCAGCAGTACTGAGGTTGAGTACCCCCGCTAGTCTAAAGGAGTTAGACTTTGGTGCGAGTCCAATGACTGCTTATTGTTGTATATAATTTCATTGTGTTCCAGTTTCAGTGTAGTATTAAGTGAGCACATTCAGTAGGAATTAAATACATAATTATTAATCCATTTTATGAATGTGAATGATTTCCTCTTCTTCAGGACCTGTTACTATGACTAGTGTACACCCACCAATACGTTCACCTAGTGCCTCCAGCGTTGGGAGCCGAGGAAGGTAAACTGACTTAACCTTATTCTCTCATATATAAAATCTCTGATTGGATTTCTCTTGACAGTGCTCCAACATGCTCTTGGTAACTCAATGCATTTTGAACAACTTCCTTCATTTTTAACTTTTAAATTAAAATGTGAATAATTATTAATTTGATAAACTAATTAATGGATCAAGTAAATAAAGTGCAGTTTTGTCTTTAAAGGTACAGAAATTGGGGTGGGGGTAGTATGTTGAAAATAAGAAAATACATTTGACTTTAGCCTAATAGCAAGGAAAATTTAAATGAAGTAGGTATCACATACTGTACTATATAGGAATATGTACAAATACAAGCTTAGTGGGGAAAGAAACAATAACTTTATGCTAACTTCAGTGTCCTCTGACTTTTTTAATGGCCAAACATTAATTCTGCCTTAAAATAAATAAACTCATAGTAGTTGAAATTCTATCTTAGCTTACTGCTTTACTCGTCTATTTCTTACACTTGCAGATTTCTCCTAGATAATGAACCTAGTTCTTAACTTGCCTAATCATATGAAAGAAGCATTCTCACAACAAATGTTGGAGAGGTTGTGGAGAAAGGGGAGTGCTCTTACGCTGTTGGTGGGAATGCAAGTTGGTACAGCCACTTTGGAAAACAGTGTGGAGGTTCCTTAAAAATTTTAAAATAGAGCTACCCTATGACCCAGCAATTGCACTCCTGGGTATTTACCCCAAAGACACAGATGTAGTGAAAAAAAGGGCCATGTGCACCCCAATGTTCATAGCAGCAATGTCCGCAATAGCCAAACTGTGGAAAGAGCCGAGATGCCCTTCAACAGATGAATGGATAAAGAAGATGTGGTCCATATATACAATGGAATATTACTCAGCCATCAGGAAGGACGAATACCCAACTTTTACATCAACACGGATGGGACTGGAGGAGATTATGCTAAATGAAATAAGTCAAGCAGAGAAAGTCAATTATCATATGGTTTCACTTATTTGTGGAACATAAGGAATAGCATGGAGGACATTAGGAGAAGGAAGGGAAAAATGAGGGGGGAAATTGGAGGGAGAGATGAACCATGAGAGACTATGGGCTCTGAGAAACAAACAGGGTTTTAGAGGGGAGGGGGGAGGGGGGATTGATTAGCCCGGTGATGGATATTAAGGAGGGCACGTACTGCATGGAGCACTGGGTGTTATACGAAAACAATGGATCGTGGATCACCACATCAAAAACTAATGATGTATTGTATGGTGACTAACATAATAAAATTAAAAAAAAAAAAAAAGCATTCTCTGAAGAGAAAAAGGTTGCCTTTAATCCTATGAGAACATAGTGGCTATCTGTAAAAGGTTTTTGTCCCACTACACTTTTAAATATCAGAACACCAATAACTTAGGTCTCTAGTTAATTGTCTCCACACTTTGGGACAATAAATCGTTAATGTGAGCGCAGAGTCTCTTTGTAACTGACTAGAGAAGGAAATGGGAAAGCCTAAGAAGAAGATGCTAGCTCTAAGATCCTGAATCTGGCTGCCCAATTGTAGAGCCTCAGAATATTGAAGTCAATTTTCTTTTAATTCAGGTTTTATTTAAATGTATTTAAATGTCTTTCCAGAAGTGTAATGTGACTATTTAGATAGGCTAATATGTAAAACATTTTTTATACATGAAGCTGTTTTGCAGTGTAGCAGTTGCATTTCAGGTATGTATCATTTATTGATAATGGAACATAGTGACTGTTGGTGTGGAGTTACAGCATTATTCCTGAAAACTGTTGTTACACTTTGTCTTAAGATACTTAAAGTAGCATTCCTTGATATTTTTTTTTCTTTTCTTTCTTATAGCTCTGGCTCTTCCAGCAAGCCAGCAGGAGCTGATTCTACACACAAAGTCCCAGTGGTCATGTTGGAGCCAATCCGAATAAAACAGGAAAACAGTGGACCACCTGAAAATTACGATTTTCCTGTTGTTATAGTGAAACAAGAATCAGATGAAGAATCTAGGCCTCAAAATGTAATTTTATGAATTTGGGGGATACTATGGCTATTTGGGGGATAGGATGAAAGAAACTTTTAAATAGCAGATAGGAGGTTATATATTTGTTATATTTGAAAACTGGGAAATAGACAACTTCAAGGTTGAAAAATTTGAGGAAATCTCTCAGTAAATTAAAAGAAAAAAATGGATGGAAAACAGGGAGAAGGGGCGCCTGGGTGGCTCAGTCGGTTAAGCATCTGCCTTCAGCTCAGGTCGTTATCCCAGCGTCCTGGGATTGAGCCCCGCATCAGACTCCCTGCTTAGCAGGGAGCCTGCTTCTCCCTCTCCCTCTGCCTGCCTGTCTGCCTACTTGTGATCTGTCTCTCTCTCTCTGTCAAATAAATAGATAAAATTTTTAAAAAAGAAAACAGGGAGAAGAGTTTGAAAAATCAGAGGCTCAAACAAGGAGGTTGGGCATTTGAGTAAAACACATGGAAGATAATTGCCCACAAAATAACACAAGGAAATTTACTCTAGCTGAAAGCATGATCATTTGAGTTGAAGGGACCCACCAAGTACCAGAACATTAAATGAAAAAAGGACTCAAGTTATATTGTCATCAGTTTCAGGATACCAGGATTCTAAAAGATTCCAGTGGAAAAAAACAGCTTATACAAAGGATCAGACATCAGAATGGCACCAGGTCCTCAAAATGGACACTGAAAGATAGTAGGGAAATATCAGAATTGTGAGGGAAAAATATTTCATAGCCAGAATTCTGTACCCAGGCAAATTATCAGTCATTTGTAAAGATTAAGCATTTTTAGACATGCATGCAGGGTCTCAGAAATTTTAATTCTCATGCACTCATTCTCAGATATTTGAGAATATGCTTTATCAAAAATGGAGTGAACCAAGAAAGAAGAAGGCATAAGATCCCAGAAATGGGATCTAACACAGAAAAGAGTAGTTCCCAGTACAACAACTTCTCTAGTACACCATGTAGCAGAGGACGGAAGACTCCACAGAGATATATGTAAGGGCAAAAAAATGTTTAGCAGTATTGAGAGGCATCTTATCACCCTACTGGAGGTTGTGAGAATGACTTAGAGATAGGGACCTAGAGAAGTAAGCAAATGAAAGGAAGGGAGGGAGGAAGGAACAATTGAATCATAGTAAAAACAATAAGACAAAATAGGAAGTGTAGTCATGGTATATTGTGTGGTTATGTAATGAGCAATATTTAGAGTCCTAATTATATAAACAAACACCTCTATTACACAAATTTGACTAAAAACTAGACATAATCAGGATATAACCTGAACACGCATTTAACCAAAAATTGATTTTTCAGGATACTTAAGCAGTGCAGCAGTGGTACTGACTTGGAATAGATGTTGGCCATAAAGTTATACCAGTACCTAACAACTTAAAAAAATAAATAAGTGTTTAATAAAGCATTAAGAGGGTGGTATGAATGGTGTGTGTGTGTGTGTGTAAGGAGGGGATGGAGAGGCAGGAAGGAAAAATCTAATCTTCCATACTAAGATACATGTTTACATATATTTAAAACTGAAAATATGCTTGAAGTTGAAAATCTGGGGCACCTCAGTGGCTTAGTCGGTTAAGCATCTGCCTTTGGCTCAGGTCATGATCTCGGGGGTCCTTGGGATCAAGCCCCGCATGAGGCTCCCTGCTCAGTCTGCTTCTCCCTCTTTCTCTGATCCTCCTCCCCACTTGTGCTCTCTGTGTCTCACATAAATAAGTAAAATTTTTAAAAAATAAATAGGGCGCCTGGGGGGCTCAGTCGTTAAGTGTCTGCCTTCGGCTCAGGTCATGACCCCAGGGTCCTGGGATCAAGTCCCACATCGGGCTCCCTGCTCCGCAGGAAGCCTGCTTCTCCCTCTCCCACTCCCCCTGCTTGTGTTCCTGCTCTCGCTATGTCTCTCTCTGACAAATAAATAAATAAAATTTTAAAAATAAATAAAATTGAAAATCTGAGAAATTACAGTGTAAGTATCATTTAAAAATGAATAGCAAAAGCGAAATAATTTGAAATGAGATTATATAACCATGATTTCAACCAAATCTACATTTATTACTTCGAAAATTTTTTTTAAAGTTTAAAGGAGATAACAGATTTTGTTATTGATCTAAAATTTTTTCTATCCTAGGCCCCAACATAACATTTAGATTCATCTTAAAGTTATTAATGACTCCTGCAGAAGTGAAATTCTAGGATTTAAAGCACTATACTTTTCTATGAATGATGAAGGCATAGTTTGTGTCTAATTTGACCTAAGAGCTCAATGTATTTACAATTCATATGGTTGACTCTACTACCCACCTATTCTCCCATTTCTGTAGCTGTTAGCAAATAAAAAGAAGTTTCTTATATTATCTACACTTCCTTTCTGCTGATTGTGTATTTTGAGGATAATTTTTAGTAGAGGTTCATGTCTTCTTTATGACTGAGGACTCTTACAAACCTGTTCTGTTCTCATGCATATTCACAGACTCTTTTGAAGTAACCAGGTGCCTATGAGAGAGGAGTCTACAGTCCAGAATTGCAGTAGTACAAATAAAGAATCTTGCTTTTGAGAAATAACACATACTCTTTAACTTCTTTCCATTGCAGACCAACTATCCAAGAAGCATACTCACCTCCCTGCTCTTAAATAGCAGTCAGAGCTCTGCCTCTGAGGAGTCTGTGCTAAGGTCAGACGCCCCTGATAGCACAGGAGATCAGCCTGGACTTCACCAGGAAAGTTCCTCAAATGGAAAGTCTGACTGGCTAGATGCCACCCAGAAGTCACCCCTTCATGTTGGAGAGACCAGGAAAGAGGATGACCCCAACGAGGACTGGTGTGCGGTTTGTCAGAATGGAGGAGAACTCCTGTGCTGTGAGAAGTGTCCCAAAGTATTTCATCTTTCTTGTCATGTGCCCACTTTGGCAAATTTTCCAAGGTAAGATGGTACTTGCTTCCCTTTCCCACTTTCTTGCACTATAAATAACAATCACTGATCATTGCAATGTAATATAAAACCTTAGAAACCTAAGTAAAAGTCCACTTCGCACAAATGCATACTCCAAAACCTTCAACATAGGGTTTTCAATATTCTGCTTCCCATTCCCAGTGCATCTCTCAAAAACCTAGTCTGTTAAAGAGGGCAGAAAAAAAAAATAGCCAGTCCTTCAAATTATTACAAATTGTTACCCTAAAGAACAGTGATCCTTATGCATAATAATTGCCACTATTATTCCATCGATGCCAAGCATTGAGCTATATCATTTACAAATATCTCAAGTACATTTTCAAACCAACCCTATGAGATGCTGCTGCTGCTGCTGGTGATGATGTGTTGATGCTGATGCTGATGCTGATGATGATGCTGCTGCTGCTGATGATGGTGATGATGATGCTGATGCTGATGCTGATGCTGAACAGCAGCCACTGGGTTGATCTCTTTATTTCTTCAAAAGCTATACTTTTTAAAATTTAATTTCACATTTGAAGTTGCAAGAATAGTACCAAGAGCATTTCGTTTTCGTGAATCATTTCAGGGACAATGCCAGTTTTGCCTCACATCAGCCATAAGTTAACGTGTGTGTTTATTTGTGTTATGTATTTATTTCGCATATGTGTTTCATGCCTCTTTGACTAGACTAATATTTACCACTTTGACCCTCGCACTGTATTGCTGCTGTTAAGCTCTCCCGGAATGGTGCTGTGTACATAGTAGTTATGCATGCAGTAAATCCGCAGTGTGATTAAAATTCATGCCAAACAAACAAATCTGTATCATAGATGGTGTGGAGGAGGTGGGAAAGGGAGATGGTGAAGAAAGAAATGATGCATTAGGAATTCAGAAATACTTTATCCCCCAACAGTGGAGAATGGATTTGCACTTTCTGCAGAGACTTATCTAAACCAGAAGTTGAATATGATTGTGATGCTCCCAGTCACAACTCAGAGAAAAAGAAAACTGAAGGCCTTGTTAAGTTAACACCAATAGATAAAAGGGTAAGTTTTTTTGAAAATTTCTAACCTAAACTGTTAAACACTTTCTTTGGTTAGATGGGGATTATTATAATGCCAGTGTGGCTTTCATCAAAGAAGTGTATATTCAATCACATTTTATACTGATGTCTTTTTCCTTTAGTTTTTCCATAAGAGTACAGGAATCTTAAATAATATAACTTGTAACTTTTTCTGGTTAAAAAAAAAATTACAGTACTGTCCATACATTTTCTAGAAGCTTAAAAGACTGTACTTGAACAAGGTAAAACATGTATCCTCTATGTGGTCTAGAATTTGAGTCTACCTTTAGTAAATTTGTTTTCTTTCTTCTGTAAATAAGTTTTCTTCCTAATTTATTGAGAATTGGCACCAAAGAGATGGGCTTTTCTATTTACTCTTCCTGGAAATAATTCCATTCTTTTACCAGATGGTACTGGGTTTATACCTCAAAGCCACCTAATATAGTTAACTCTAATTGACAGAGCTACTACGTCAACACTTCTTTAGTAGTAAAGAAGTTCTTAGCTAAATTATTAAGTAAAACACTCAGTATGGGCCCCAAACATACACTGCCAGTGCTACCCCATATTTACTGGGATTAACCCTCAGCAGAGAGGTAGCCAAGTGTGTGGACAGCACCATGTGCATTCCCAGAGGCACCTTTGGACTGGACACACCATAGAAAGGGGTCCCTCTCTGGATCTCTTAACATACATATACTCTTTTTATTGACTATTAATAATCAATATATAAATTAGAGAGATAAGTGGAAATTTGTTTTTAAAGAGCTTCAGATAGGTTTCTCGTGATACTGTTTTTTGTTCCTATAAAAACTGCTCTCATATATCACATACACCCCAAACCGTTAAATAGTATAGTTCAGTAAATGACCAAAAAGATCAGAACTCTAAGTATTGATATTTTTCTGGTATTCATCTGGTTTTAATTCTTGTTGTATTTTGAGACCCATAACATTGGTATTAAAAATAAGCTGTGACTTCATTATTTTATTTTATTTTTTTTGCTTAGAAGTGTGAACGCCTACTTTTATTTCTTTACTGCCATGAAATGAGCCTGGCTTTTCAAGATCCAGTTCCTCTAACTGTAAGTATTAACATCATTTTGTGCATTTTTACATAGTAGGATGATTTTTTGTTATTGTTGTCTTTTAGAGCACGCACAAGTGGGGGGGGCGGGTGGAGAGAATCTTTAAGCAGACTTCATGCCTAGTGCAGGGCTCAGTCTCATGACCCTGAGATCATGACCTGAGCCAAAATCAAGAGTTGGACACTCAACCCACTCAGCCACCCAGGCACCCCACACAGTAGGATGGTTTTTTTTAAACTTGATTTGTGAGAATGTAGTTTCTCTACCATTCTTTAGTAGTCAGTTTCCTATATCTAAACCAAATCTTAAAGTTTTCTTAACACAAATGGAATACTTTGATCTTGAATACACTTTGATGTTCACAAATTGGCCCCAAACTTGTATTCATTTCTCATATATTCTTCTCATCTCACATATTTTACCTACTATTCTCTGGAATGATTTCTATTAATTGTTTCTCTTTCAAGAGGCTTAGGCATATATCCTAGGGGTATTGGGAAAAAACTTATAATTTGAGATAAAGACTCCTGAAATTCTTTGACATATTTTGATTTGTATAGGTCCAGACTTAAAGTACTAAGTAAACTTGTAACAATAGAGGAAGGGGTGTGTGTGTGTGTGTGTGTGTGTGTGTACCACAGGTTTGCTGTATAGGTTTCTTTATTAATGACAAATTAGTACACGGAAAAGCAATGAGAACAATCTGAATTTTATTCTCCCGCTTGTAGAATTTATTTAGAACGGGTAGAATTTAGTCATTTTTATTATAGCATCTCATTTATTTTGAAAGGTGCCTGATTATTACAGAATAATAAAAAATCCAATGGACTTGTCAACTATCAAGAAGAGACTACAAGAAGATTATTCCATGTACACAAAGCCTGAAGATTTTGTAGCTGATTTTAGATTGATCTTTCAAAACTGTGCTGAATTCAATGAGGTAAGAGGAAAAAGAAAAAACAGCAATGGGAAAATAATATTAAACCAGTTTATCCAAAAAAGAGATGAAGATCTATGATAGCATAAATTTCTAGAAATTCACGTTTGTCAGGGAATGAAAGGTAATTAGAAAGACTGTATCCACATTCCTAATCAAAGGTTTATTATATGGTAAGTGGAAGTGCAAATTACAGCTGACAACTTGAAAACAATTGTAGAAAATAATTTTACCTAAAAGCATCCTTTGTCATTCCCACCTTTATTTCTTAAAATATGGCGCTTCTGGACTAAAGTCTTCTTGATGTTGATCTTGAAATATTAAGGATGTGATCTAAATTGCTCTGGTGTTTAAATTTTCTCAATTTTTGATCTGTCAGTTTATCTAAACATCTGTCGACTTACAGCCTTTTGTTGATGGTTTGTTCTGTGTATTGGTTACTTGTTCCAGAGATCCACATTTTATTTAATTTGCTTTAAAAAACACCTGTTCCATGATTCTGTGATAATGGCATCTCTTCAATAATCTCAGTTTAGTAATACAGTCATATGGCTATCACTACCTTATAGAATAATCCAGATGATTCCAAGCCTTTTATTTACTTATCTGACCTTCTCTAGACTTTGTCTAGCCCCAGACTATTATTTACTTTATATCAGTGATGATGCATAAACATTTTCCCAAAACTTCAGTTAAAAGAGAACAAAATATGAGAAATTAATTTTTTTTATTGACTGTTGACTGTCTAAAATATTGGTGTTTGTTTTTTAATTCATATTTTCATTTTTATCCAACAGCCTGATTCAGAAGTAGCCAATGCTGGTATAAAACTTGAAAGCTATTTTGAAGAACTCCTAAAGAACCTTTATCCAGAAAAAAGGTTTCCTAAACTAGAATTCAGGAATGAATCAGAAGATAATAAATTTAGTGATGACTCAGATGATGACTTTGTACAGCCCCGGAAGAAACGCCTCAAAAGCATAGAGGAACGCCAGTTGCTTAAATAAGCATGGCGTGTGCTGGTTTTTAGATTTTTCGTTTTTGTTTTTAAAAAACATTTTGTCGGTAATTTTAACATCATTACAAAAAAGAGTTTGTGACCACTCTGATCTGTAAGTTTTTGATGTTTACTAGATTTTGATTTCCTTAATAAACCATTTCTTTTAATCTTATTAAGAAAGAGAGAAGGGAAGTAAGGAAAGGAGTAAAAGGGAGGGAGAAGGGAGGGAGGACGGAGAAAGGAAGGAAGAAGCAACAACAAAAAGACATTCTTCCCGCTTCTTGGATTTCAAAACTACAATTTGGAGTGATAGCAACTATAGAAAGGAAATAGAGTGTGTATGAACTCTTAAGTTGAAAATTTGACGTGGTTTGGATGTGTGCATTAATCCATTTTTAGAAAATACCACTACCCATTAATTATGGCCCAACCATGAGTTTAGGTGTACGGTACTTAAGAACAGTACTCCGTGAACATGAGTGGTAATAAGAGTTCTATCCTAGAATGCTGACTGGTGCAACAAAAAAGTAGATTAGATGCTATTAAGAAAGCACCTAACAGTATATCATGTAAGATGGCAACTGTATTAAAGAAAAAGCAGGAAAACAAATGTTTGATTTTTGTTTTGTTTTCTCCTTGTCTGTAGAGGTGTTTGGTATAGCAGGTGTTCAAAGCCATTTTTCATACATTTCTAAATATAACTTCTTCCACTGAGGAAGTAAGTGTACACATGTTTGGTGTGCTGTGTGTCTCTGTGTGGTTTGTTTGCTTCTTAACTGTGCAGGTGATCCTTTTATAACAAGACTCATTGTTTGCAAGTATGGCCGTTAGTGGAACTTCCCGCAACATGAAATACAGCAGTGTGCACCATGTTTGATGTGAGGATTCTTCAACATATTGGGCATTAAATATAAGTTCCCCTGTAAGGGTCTAGTTTTGTGGTTTTCATCTTTCTTTATAATTTGGAATAAAAATGTGTTGTGGAATTTGGGAGCAGGCAGTTGGAGGGAATTACAATGAAAATTTAATTTTTTCTGAAGCTCCTGTTGCCTGATTTTAAAAGTCAGAACCTGAAATTGAATCTTTTATCTAACTTGATTCTGAATTTCATTTTCATTCTCCTAATAGAGGTACAAAAGACCAGTCTTCTGAGAGTAAGCATAGTGTTAATGAACCAGACCTCGCTAGTTAAACTGACATTCATTTATTCCTTTTGTTTGTTCAGTGTCAAAGAAGGAAACTAAATTAAGATAGAAGAAAAACATTGTGCCATTTGCTGATCTAACATTTGACAAAATAGTTACACATGAAGTTTTTCAAAATAACCATTATAAAACATTAATTGAATGAGGAAATTTTTCTCTTTAGGCTGATAGAATAAAAATAAGGCTGAGCTGAAAGAACCTTAATCTTCTTTGGATGGTATCACCTCCCATGAATTACACCTAGAGGATTTGATTTTTTCCATGAGGCATTACTTCTTAAAAGGGACAATTTGAAAATATCCTAGAGCTAATTCATTGGGTTTTCATATATTGCTAAAGATAAAATATGAGAAAATTTAGGAACAATAGCTTCTCATTGTAGACTTAGGTCTTGTCCATAGTATGTCAGTTACTCATTAATAAAGAGTCTTATCACTTTTCCAAACATGTGTTTCAGAACAGTTGTTGTATTAATTTGTGAATATGCATTTGACATTTATTCTCCAAAGGCTGAACAAATTTTGATAACAGTGCATATACCATTTGTCTTTTTTTTTTTCCTCTAGCATTTTTTAGCACAGCAACTGTGGAGGTTTTGCTAGTAGGTTTATTGTTGGTATCTCAGAATACCGTTCTTCTGGCCATTTGTTCTTCCATACTTGTCTGCTGAGTTAAAACAGCAACACAGATAAATTCTGAGGAGGATCACAAAGGGAAATAGCACCTAAAGGGAGAAAAATATATAATTTCTTAAATGCATCTGAGCCAGAATTTCTACTATCGTGCCCAAACTTTCACTGTTAAATTTAGTCATAATAATCTTTTAAAAACAGTACTTCACCTTTACCATTTTTTTGCTGATTGAAAGGTAGTTAAGAACCATCTTTCCTATAATCATACATAATACAAATTACATTAAAACTAGGTGTTTTTCTCTCCAAACAGCCTTTTTGTAATGGTCTTTAAGATTAAAGTCCTGTGACCTTATTAACAAGCACCTGTGTGCCTGGGTGGATTCCTAGCTAAGTAGTTCTTAAATTCGAATAGAAGTAAGGTATGAGGTGAGCCTGACTATTCCCCATGCTCGTTTAGAGAGCATCTTCCCAAAAGTTCAGTGTGATTCAAGCAACTTTGACCTAAACTTAATTAAAACACTCCAGTGTTACCTCTGATCAAAAACTCCAGATTTCCTTCTGGATTTGGAACCACAGCCCAGTGTCATAGATGCAAGATCCTGTAATGCTAAACGTGATCACATGATGACACCTTTGGCCAGGGCTTGTGAATTGAACAGACCATGTGGGAGCTAGGATTTACCTAATTCCAGCTCATCAAAAGCCTTCCCATGCTTTCCCATGGATCAAGCATCTGATCTTTCTGGCATAAGGCAATAATATATTCAGAATAAATTTGTGTATGAGCATCTGGCAATGCAATTATTTTCTCCTTTCAATTAACAGGCCTTGCTTATCTTTTCTGAATGGAGGGGTGAGAAGTTGGATGTGCTGAAAGGAAAATGTCCTCTTCCCTTCCCTTGGCAGTTTTACTTGCTTTGTCACGCTAAAAACCAGGCTCCCTGTTTTACCCCTACACTGTAGTATAAATGCAATATAACTTAGGAATACTTTCACAAAGATTCACTCCACAATCGGAAGGGTGAGTATACAGTTGATTGCTCCATTTATGAATTTGCATTTCAAATTCCTATGTTGTTTCGGCGCTTAAACTTTTAAATTTGGGTTCCATGGACAGGCTAGTCAATGAAAGGAGAACTCCTCCTTTTGCTGAGGCCTGATCCATAAATTAATGTGAATCCCTTAAAGTTGCTACATGTGAGCAAAAGGTTTTTAGGTGTAAATAGAAGATGTGCTTATGTTATGAATGAGAGAAATTGAGTGATCTGATTGGTTATTGTAGACATGACCATGAGTTCAACCATCTAATTTCTAATGGAAGCCCTCCTTTTAAGTAACATGTACATATTTTCTAAAGTATTTTATAACCTCATGTAAATTAATGGTTGATATCTTTTTATATATATTGCCCTTTCATCTTGGGTGTGAATTTAGTAAGTCATAATTCACATGGTGGTAGCTCATGTTCCTTAGTGAGAATAATGCTGGCCAGTCAGACCCCGATTACTTTCCCCACAAAGATTTGCTTATTGTGAAAGACATCATAGGCAGTAGTCTTTGCTGTTGTTTGGTCTTTCTTTTTTAATTTGGGGGGGGCGGTGGGTAGGGGCAACTGGTGCTTTGATTTTTAATAAAAATTAGCTTTGATGGATTTTTACTGTGAATGTTTTACCGCAAGCAATTTTAATGGAAAAATTACTGTATGTCATTCAATAGAATCTTACCTAGTTCGAGTCTCTCTTCATTACCAGCTTTGTGTGTTCCTCTAAAAAAGTGATACATAATAGGGATGAGCTACTAGTCTGTAAATGATAGGAAAACTTTCTTAAAAATTGTAACATACACATTTCACCAGCCTTATAAGCAAAAAATAATTTTACAAACAGGAAGGAAGGGGGTGATAACTTTAGTCGCTGATTCCCATCCCCCTCAAAGTAGGAAAACCAAAGATGTCATGAAAAATTCTCCTTGTCTAAAACATGTTGGAAGAGGAGAGGAAGACAGTAAGGACTTTTACGGGTCACTTTGAAAGTTTACTGATGTTAATTTCACCTGTAAACTTTCTAAAGTTTTGATTCTCAGAAATTACAACTGTTTTTAATAAAAACTACGATTGGAGGTGGCACCTGGGTGGCTCAGTAGATTGCAACTGGCTCTTAGCTCTTGATTTCGACTCAAGTCATGATCTCAGAGTCCTTCAGGCTCTGTGCTTAGCAGGAAGTCGGCCTGAGGATTCTTTCTCCCCCTCTGCCTCTCCCCCGGCTCACACGTGCTCCCTCTTTCTCTTTCTCTTTCTCAAATCTTTCTTTATAACTCACTATTGGATATTAAATAGATCTTACTTTGACAGGACTGGGAATAAACTTCTGTTTGATTCTTGAGTTTTTATGTAGAATAATTAAGGCCTACTTTGAATCCTAAAAATAGCCCTTACCTAAAAATTACAAGTTAAACATTTAGCAAAATTCTCTTTCCCATATCTTCAAATGTAGATGTGGAAGAAAGTCTAATGTCCTCTGCCATGTATCAGGATACTTGTGTGAATTCTTTATCCGTATTCTCTAATGCCTTTAAACTTACCACAAATGCACTAGAAAATTCAGTCTGGAATCTTTTCATTACTAATGATTAAAGCCAAGTTATTGTTTTGGGGGTAGGGGATAGAATACATAGATCAACCAGGGTTAAGCACTTCTCACCCTTGGAATGGGATTGTATGGACCTGAGAGGTGGTATTTCTCCAAAGAAAATCAGGGTGTTAAGAGGAAAGAGGAAGAATGGCAACAAGACAAGAATGAGGCACCATGGTTTAACAATAGTGCTGGTTCTCTAATCTAATTGATTTTAGGGATTTATTGATGAGGGTATATGCTAAGAAAGCCCAAAATACAGAAAGTCTAAAATAAAGGTTTCAGCATTCATATTACAGGATGAGTTTTTGCCATTGTAGACTATGCTTTAAAGAGACTTAAATCTGGGGCAACCTGGGTGGCTCGGTCAGTTAAGCATCTGCCTTCGGCTCAGGTCATGATCCCAGGGTCCTGGATCAAGCCCCAAGTCAGGCTCCCTGCTCAGCAGGAAGTCTCCTTCTCCCTCTGCCCTCCCCCAACTCTTGATCTCTCTCTCTCTCTCTCAAACATCTGATTTAAGTCTTTAAAAAAAAAAAAAAAGTTTCTATATATAGAACTATTAGGTTTGGGGTGACTTGAAATTTGTTGACTTCCATTTCTACTAATGACTAATTCTACTAAGGAGGATAAACAATACACATAAGTTTATAAAGGAATCCTTGAATTTAGTATTCAATTAAAATGACATTAATAAAATTTGCTGTTGACTAGTTCAGTGTCTTCCAGGGAGCCTGGGTACTAGACTGGTGGACAACATTGTAAAGTTCCTTAAGCCTGGATACTTCTACAAGTACTGAGAGTCCCTGAAATTCTTGAGAAGATGCTTGAGCATCAGCTTTGTCATTGTTGACTGTGATTGTCCATCACTACTGTCCTTTGGTTTTATTATCCTTTGGTTTAATTATAAACTGCTGCTAACATCAGCATCAGGATTGTCAGTTATGATTGGGGGTGAGTTATTTGGCTAACCCTCCCATGTGTAGCCAAGACATCTTTGCATCAGAAATATTTGGGCCTAAAATTTTTAATAGCTATACCAAGGTAGGTGTGTAAACTTTTAAAAATGAAGAAAACAAATTAGGTGATTGCCTACTTCAAAAAGTGTTTGTTTCAGTCTCCATTCTCAAGGGTCCAGGGAACTGCAAAATGCTGTAGAAGGCAAGAAGCTTTCATAGGATGAAGAATAAGGAACAAGTAAGTATCAGAGCCCAGAGCTGGCTTGGCACTTGGGGATTGGCTGACTGGAACATTTATAGGGACCTGGACATGAAGTTTTGGTTTGCTGATGGGGCACACACCCTGAGTAGAGCAGTTCCATCTTGGACCTTGAAATTTATTTCAGTAGCCCTCTGCCCCCATTTTTGATCAAAAATAATGTGACTCTCAGTTACCACTGGCTCTTTAGGTCTCAGTGTAGTATTCAGAAAAGATGTCAGGCTTATATTCTTGGGGCTGGTAATGT